TCAAAATTTGCTTGGCTGACAACCATGAATTGTAGAAGGCTTGTAGATCATTTAGGCTGGTTGCTAGTAGCACAGTGTCATCGACGTAGCGGATATTATTGATGTATTCACCGTTCACTTGGATTCCCATCTCTAGGTTTGTGAGGGCTTCAGTAAAAAATTTCCGCAGAGTATATATTGAAAAGAGTCGGTGAGAGCACACAGCCGTGCCTTACTGCTCGCATGATCTTCACTTGTTCGGTCAGCTGGACTTCAACCTTGACTTAAGCACGCTGGTTCCAGTATAAATTCGTGATGATCCGAATGTTCTTCTCATCCAATCCTACTCTTTGTAGGTCGGCGAACATCTTCTGGTACTGACAACGGTCAAATGCCTTGGCATAGTCAATAAAACAAATATAGACATCACAACTGACATCGCGGCATTTCTGAAGTAAGACTTGTAAAGTGAAAAGTGCCTCACGTGTACCCATGGAATTGCGGAATCCAAATTGCATTTCACCGGCATTTTCTTCGCATTTCTTGTAAATTCTGGCATGTATGATTTTAAGAAAAATCTTAAGTGCATGACATAAGGTTGATAGTTCGGAAATCTTCACACGTTTTCGCAACTCGTTTTTTTTTTTGATAGTGGTACAAATTTTGTCAATAGCCATTCCTCTGGGATATTACCTGAATCGTATATGGCGTTAAACAGTTCAGTTAACTCCTTTGTGCTCACTTCACTCATCACCTTAATAAGTTCAACGTGTATTTCGTCCGAACCTTACTATTATTAGACTGTTTTAAAGCTGCTTTCACCTCACTTTCTAGTATTGACGGCCCTGTCATGCAATTTATATCTGGAAGGTTACCTCTGTAGTCCCAGAAGAGTTCTTCGATGTACCGGGTGGTCCAATAAGCCGATCTCTCGGCTATATATCAGAAACTATTCGTGTTATAACTTTAGGAGAAAAATTTCTTAATAAAAGTGGCCAAGAGAAATCGTTGGAAATAACTTTTAAGTTTCTGGGTTAACCGCTAGGGGGCGTAACCTGTGAAGAAAACTTTGAAAACCAGTTTTTTTTAGAATATGTCCAATTATACCAAGTGTTAAATAAGTAAACTAGAAAGAGACCTTAATTCTTCACAAAGTTGTTCAAGTACTTTTTTTTATTTTTTTCAAATAAAGGGTTTGGGAGAGTAGGGAATTATTTGTGGATAAATACCTATAACTTTGGATTGGATTAACCGATTTTAACGAAATTAGTGTCATTAGAAAGAGTGTTGATGAGTTAATTTACATCTAATATAAAATAATTGCATTTAGTTTTAATTGTGATAGATAGAGGGTACTTTCGAATAGAAAAAATTAAAATTTGTTTTTCTTCAAAATAATTAATGGAAACACCTGTTTATTGTAAACTATAATGGAACTGGATTAAATTCGTAACAAAATGGCACAAACCGCATGTTAATAACTTTTGTCAAACCCGAGATATGAATAAAAACGCATAAACATAAGTAAGTTATAGTATTGACTCACCCTGTATTATAAATTAAATTAAAAAATAAGTCAGAGGTTACTTTAATTTTTTTTTATAGCAGAAGAATCTTAATGTTGATACCTATTTTGACAATTGTTATTTTATATGATTAAAAATAGTTTTTTCGAGAGTGTTATATTATAATCCAAATTGAAGATTGCACTTTTTTCAATAGATATTAATATTGGTAATATTAGTAATTAATTACGAGTACTAATAATCCGTGATATATCAAATGCAGAATTGTATGAAATTATTGTAATTTATTTCGAATGTCACCAAAATGCCGCTATTGCCTCACGTATATATTCTGTAAGATATCCAGATAGTAGACATTATGGCAAAGAAGTATTTGAAAGAAAGGTAAGAAGATTAAGAGAAACTGGTAGTTTTTATCGTCCTTGTTTTAAACGATGTAGTAGAGGTATGACCGAAGATAATTCAATTAATGTTCTTGCTTTAATTCAAGAATCCACATATAAGTAGTCAGCAAATCTCTATAGAATTAAACATACCCAAAACTACTGTTCTAAGGATTTTAAAACATCACAGGTTGGTTTTTCATATTATAAAGTAAACATTTAGGTCAGAAACTTGGAATTCCCTTTAAACTTTATATTCAACTCTTATTTTAATATTCCGATAAAAATGGCAACACGGCGCTTTTATCCTTTTATCCGATTCTTAAAAATACTTATGCACGGTTTATCTTGTGAAACAATTGTAGATTTTTCAAGATTTTTTGAGTTTTAGTAAATATAGTGGTTTCTTTTTCACCAATATTTGTTGTTCTGTTTTTTTAGACTGCATCCTTATCATGTAGTTCTCCACCAAGCTTTACATGAGACAGATTTTGATGCAAGGTTGGATTACTGCAATTGGATGTTAGGTCTGCTAGAATAACAATCGCGTATCATGTCAAAGATTTTGTGAACAGACAAGGCTAGATGAAGTCTTAATGTTTGGTGTGGTATAGTTGATGAAAAGATCGTAGGTCCACATTTCTTTAATATAACTTTAAATGGCGAAAAAATATTTGGATTTTCTGGAAAATTAGTTGCCTGTTTTATTGGAAGATATTCCCTTACAAAAAAGAAGAGATATGATATTACATGACGGGTGTCCTGCGCACTTTTCCAGATGAGTTCGAGATTATTTGTATGCAAGTTATCCAAATAAATGGATTGGAAGGGGAATCTCCAGACTTAACATATCTGGACTTTTATCTGTGGAGAAGATTGAAGGACTTAGTGTACCAAACTTGACCAACCACGCGAGTCGAGATGAAACAGCGCATTATAAACACAATAAATAGTATATCAACAGCTGAGATTGAAGCAGCTGTTATGTCTACGCGCGAAAAATTACATCTTTGTGTGGACAATGATAAAAAACAATTTGAATATTTAATTGGACATTAAGTTTTAATAATTAAGATGTTTGTATGATCTTTCACATATTTAATTTTCAGTTATAATATAGGGTGAGTCAATGCTATACTTATTTATGTTTATGCGTTTTTATTCATATCTCGAGTTCTACAAAAGCTATCAACATACGGTTTGCGCCGTTTTGTTACGACTTTAATCGAGTTCCAGCATAATTTACAATAAATAGGTGTTTCCATTAAACATTTTGAAGAAAAATAAATTTTAGTTTTTTCTATTCAAATGTATCCTCTATCCATGACAATTAGAACTAAATTCAGTTGTTTAGTAGTAGATATAAATTAAATTATCCATACTCTTTCTAATGACACTAATTTCGTTAAAATCGGTTAATCCAAACCAAAGTTATAAGTATTTATCCACAGATACTTTCCCACTCTCCCCCACCCTTTATTTGAAAAAATAAAAAAAAGTACTTGAAAATTTTGTGCGGAATTTAGGCCTCTTTCTAATTTACTTATTTAATACTTGGTATAATTGGGCATATTTCACAAAAAACTGGTTTTTCCACATTTTTTATTCACAGGTTACGCCCCCTAGCGGTTAACCCAGAAACTTGAAAGTTATTTCCAGCGATTTCTCTTGACCACTTTTACTAAGGAATTTTTTCTCCTAAAGTTTATAACATAAATAGTTTCTGATATATAGCCGAGAGATCGGCTTATTGGACCACCCGGTACATTTTCCACGTCACCAACTTCTCCTTAACTGTCTTCGCCAGGTTTCTATCTTTGTTTATGAGGAGGTGTGTGTTTCTCTTCTTGTATTGACCAGTGGCTTCTCGAATCTTTCGGTGGATATTTATATGATCGTGTTTCACTTGGAGTTCTTCGATTAGTTTACATTTTTCTTGCATCTATGTCTCCTTGGCTCTTCGTATTTCTTTTTTAATTTTTTGGTTGATTTCTTGGTATATCTTTGCGCCCCTGTTTTTCATTAATCTTCTTTGGTCCATCATCTGTAGAGCGTCATCAGTTATCCATTCTTTATTTTCACTCTTGTTTTCTTTCCCAGATGTTCTTTTCCCGCATTTTGCATGACATCTTTGATATAACTCCATTTTTGTTCTACACTCTGTTCTTGTTGTTTAGCGGTTACTAGTTTTTCCCTCATTACATCTCTTACGTTCTGACGAACGTCTGCTCCTGGGAAGGTCTTCGCCGAAGTCCAGCTGTTCTTGAATCTTTTGTTAATAAGAATAAAGTCTATCTGGTTTCTCATGATATTGTTGGCTGTATCTGCAGGTGACTTCCACGTACAAAGTCGTCTCGGGGGAAGTCTAAACCAGGTTTTAGTAATGGTAAAATCTTCTTCCCTACAAAATTGGATAAGTCGGTCTCCCCTTTCGTTTTTCTTGCCTAAGCCGTGTTGTCCGACGATGTCTTCTATTCTGCTTTTGCCAACTTTGGCATTGAAATCACCCATGGTAAGCTCGTTCTTCTTGGTATATTTTAGTGCTTTTTGTACAAGAGCGTAGAACTCGTCGATATCCTCTTCTGGATTTTCTGATGTTGGAGCGTAAATTTGAATAATATTCGTATTAACGGATCATCTTTGCAGCTTCATCAGAATGACTATCAGAGAGAGGAAGCACGCTGATCACAGCCCCAGCGACCTTTTTGCTCAGAATCATTGCTACGCCGTTCCACTGATGTGGTTTATCGTTTCCCGCATAATATACTATATGCTATCCACACAGCACTGTCCTGAGCCTGGCCATCTCATCTCACTAATTCCCATCGTCGATATTTAGTCTTTTCATTTCTTGAATGGTGTTGTGTATCTTTCCCCTTCAAACATAATTCGATCATTCCATGTACAGATTTTTTGAACGTTCCACGTGCTCACTTTTTGTCTATTTTTTTTTGAACCTATTCTCTATTCTTCCATTGTTGGATATAGGTCTCCCCCAGTTCTTTCCATCTTTCCCTATCTTGAGCTGTTCTCTGCCATGTTTAAGCCATTTTCTCTATTAGTTTTAAGTATTGGTAAGGATTTCGTGGGTTGATGATCTGGGAAGTCTTACATTTTCTTGTTCTTCATCCCCTGCCGTATCTTGATATCCGAAGTCCATGATCAGTATGCATATCGCTGAATGCTCAATGTGCATATCGCTTCAACAATCTTTCTTTTTTATATATCTTTATATCTACGTTTTTCTTTAGCATACGGCTTGTTTTGCGGCCTTGAGTTTTTATGAAACACTGTTTTATTAAATGTAATGAAAAACCCATGATAATTCTGCTAATTTTATTGATAATTTGCCATAAATCTATAGTTAACAATAACAAAGTAATAAAGATATTGGCTTTTATATTGACATAAAAAAAAATAAAAATAAATGTTTCGTAATGTTATACCAATATCAATGTTGTGCAAGTTATTGAATATTCAAGAATACACTCTGGGATAATAAATTTTTTGATATTTCTAAGGAATTTTTGGTATGTTGACTTTATATACGTACATTAAAAATACATATACAATGATAGCACTAGCAAGATTTTTAATTAACCATTTGTAGTAACTTTCATTATCCTTCCCGTCTGGTTAGTATATAGAGTAGAATTGATTGCGTTGGCAATTAAAAAGAAATTATGCTTCATGTTCCTAAGATTATAGTCATATCTTCATGGATGGTGTTATTCTTACCATATTCCTTTTTGTTTTTATTATTAACATTTTTTCTCCGTTTTAACCAACTTTGCAATTTTTTTTATCATTATTAACAAAATAGATAAAGATTTATTTAAAGATTTATATCCTGATTTTTTAGAACAGAATAACATTAAAAATATATTATGCCGTGCTAATTAAGTATCTTACTTTTAGTGAATTTGACAAGTATCAAATTTCTTTGGGCACTGTACGAAAACCCCCTCCTGTTCCAAGATCAAAAGAAGATCCTACATTTTGGGAATTCAAGGACAATTTAGAACCGGGAAAGACTTATTCTGTTGTTGTGAAAACCGTTTCTGGAAAAGTCACTTCTTGGCCTGTCAGTGCTGATGTTACATTAAGTAAGTATTTATAGTTTTTTATTAAATATACTAGGATTGCCCAAGGAAAACATTAATCAACCTATCTGCGACCTGGCGACCGTGTCAATAAAATTTGTTTGAATTTTTGTTTGTTTAAGTACTAAAACATTATATAAAAATCTTTAAATTTAGTTTCTTTCTAAGCATTATTATTGAGAGATAAAGTGATATAGATAATCAAGAATTTTTCAAAAATAATAATATAACTTATAGTTTTTGGCAGCTGGTGGGGGTTTTCCGTTGACTTGTTGACTGTTTTGAGTTCAACCTCCTCTAACCGTCTGCAGTTGCCCACTCTGGAACAGAAGCTGCCTATGTGGTTCTCTACTACGCCAAAAAGTCGGGATGCGGCTTCCGCTATTTGCCTTCATCGTCGTTGTGGGCTTTATGTGTAACTCTAGACAAGGGGCTCTCACAGAATGCTATCAGCGGAGCCAACTGAACTCTGGTTTTTTATATAATGGTTACTCCTCTATTGCTTCTCTTTTTCCGGGCTTGGGAACCCCTATGGACTTAAAATTAAATATATGGAATTGTGCATTCACAAAAATGGCCTTAAGTTGATTAAAAAATAAAAAAAATGTACAGAATAGGATAAAATTACAAATGTCGGAATATTAAAAATCGGTTGCAGAAGAATACAAGAATATTGAAGATTATTAAGAGCGTAGGCGCAAAATTTCGGGCAAAATGCTTTTTAAATGCATTCATTTTTTTCAAATCCTGAGAAAACTAACCAATTTTTTAAAAAATTTAAACGCAGAATGAAAGATTACATTATTACCGAGGGCTGAAAGTCCCTTAGAATAAACAACAAGTTTTTTTGAATGAGATATTTGAAATTAAAAATCACACTAAATTTTCTCTTTTTTTTTCATCCCTGTATATTATTAAAATAAACGTTATATATTTTTCAAAAATATTTATTAGTTTTCTCAGGATTCGAAAAAAATGAATACATTTAAAAAGCATTTGCCCGAAATTTTGCGCGTACGCTCTTAAATAAAATAATCGATGAAGTAAACATCTCTTATAAATAGTAAAACTTCGAAGTCAACGTTATATTGAAGAAAAGTGATCAAACAATCATCGAATATTTGCTATCTAGAATAGAGCCAAATTTAAGTGACAAGCAAATTATACTCCATCACCAACTTGGCTTTAGACCATAGCATGCTACCACTGAACAAATTTATCGGCTTTACCAGGAAATACGTCAAACACTGGAAAACAGAAAATATTACACCCGAATCTTCTTAGACAGCTCTCATACCTTTGACAGAGTATAGCATAATGGCCTCTTATACAAAATCAGAAAATTTCTTCATAACAACTACTTCTAAAACCTAAGCTCACCTGGAAGACCATTACCTTGTAAAACATAATGAGCATACCAGATTTTATCCTAGTACAGCTGGAATCCCACAAGGCAGTGTCCTCGATCCAGTTCTGTACCTGATATTCACTATTTTACCTTTTGACAGTTACCTTGTCTCCAGACAGTATCATATGCAGCTGATAGGTCTATGAAAGCAACAGATATTTTTTTGCTTTCTTTGAAAACCTGCTTCAATATGTGTTGTTAGTGATAGGATCTGATCTGTGCAGTTGCGGTCAGTAGTAGTTCGTACCCAATTTCTCGGTCTTTACTTTCGTTCTATTCTTGATACAATTTCTCACATTTTTCATCCAATCCTAGGACATACTCTTTTCGATATCCTCTGGGTATAGTTTTCTTCGCTGTAGAGATAACCGCGCCAGTCAATCTCATGTAGTTTGCACGTCTTGGGTTATCCATCCCAGACGTTTGTCCAATCTTTCAGTAAAAGTCGCCCAGTCTGCTTTTTGAAAGTTCCACCTAGGTCGAGGAAAAGATGATATTATTGGTATTTTGATGCCACTGGCGAAGAGGGTTTCACCCTCTTCGCTAGAGTTTAGCAGAGCCTCGCCGTTTTGATTAATGTGTCTATACTTTCAGAGTTTATGATGACTGTTGATGTCTCCAACATAAACTGAGGGGTTGTGGGCGTGAATAACATGCGGAGGCCACAGGACTGCCGGGGGCTTATAAATATTGCTGACAGTAATTTCGTCAATTTGTTTAGTAACCATATGAATGTTATTTATATCTGATGTAGAACATATGTGTGAACTTTCTATTTTGTTTCGAATATAGGGTTCCCCTCCATAAGCTGGATGGTAAGTTAAACCCAATAAATCATAGCCATGAATTCTTCCTCTATCGAGAATTTGTTCCAAGTTTTCTCCTTGGGTTTCCAGAATTGCAACCACGTCGATATTATTTTCAATGAGTACCTTTTACTTCTACTAATACCTTCTATATTTAAATGGCACCTTCGGATGCTTGGTCCGAATCCGTTTGTCGCTTGGTCCTAAGAAGGTCCATGTAAATTATTGGTTGGAGGCATAGCTTATATTCGTGAAGTATTCTTTGCCAGGAGATCTAGAGATTCTAGATTGTGCTAGTTCATTTAGCATTACCCAGGGTCATCATCATCATCATCCAGCCTCAAAAGTCCACTGCTGAACATAGACCTCTTCCTCGTGTTTCCAACCCCGTCTATCTTGCGCCGCTCTTAACCAATTTTTATTAAGTCTTCTCAAATCGTCAGTCCATCTTCTAGGTGGTCGACCGACGCTTCTCTTGTCTTCCCTTGGCCTCCATTCCAATAACCTCTTTGTCCATCGCCCATCTGTCATTCTGGCTATGTGTCCTGCCCATCTCCATTTTAGTCTGGCTATCTTCTCGATGATGTCAGTCACTCCGGTTCTTCTCCTGATGTCTTCGTTGGTTATTCTGTCTCGCAGAGTTATTCCTAACATGGACCGCTCCATTCTTCTCTGCGTGACTCTCAGTTTGGTAGCTGCGGCTGTTGGTAAGGTAAGTGTTTCTGCTCCGTACGTCAAGACTGGGAGGACGCACTGATCAAATACCTTTCTCTTTAGTGCCCAGGGTGCAAGATTATTATGGTATTCCAGTGCCAAGAATATATAGAAAATTGACAATGAGCAATTGTAATTATATTAAAGATTGTACATATACTGGGAAATTAATAATAATAAAAATTCTATGGTACACTGTTTCACCATATTTTTAAACTGTAGAAGTAAATTTTTCTACATTTTAAGCATCTTGGAATATGTTTTAATTTTTTAATTTTTCTTTCAGAGCCTCTTCCAGTAAGATACGTTACTTCAACTACCGATACAAAAACTGGGACAGTAAGTATATTTTGGTCCCCGGACCCAGCTAGTACACAAGAAGGGTATTTGGTTTCTTATCACGAAGCAGAAAGTACTACCGGAGACAGTAATACTATAACTACCAACCAGACTGATATTAGTTTAGAGGCTCTATTGCCAGGAAGGAATTATTCCATTACGGTGCAAACCGTTTCCAAAGACCAACAGGTAAGCAGTTATTGTAAATTATTTTAGCAATTTTCAGTTAGAATTACATATTTTTAACTTTTCGCGTTCCATTCTGGAAATAGTTTCCAAAAAACTAGAGGAAAACGACTTACGAGTTGAACAGATGATATTATTATCATCTATTACTTACTATGAACTGTCAACAATCGTCTCAAAAAAACCTAAATGAATGTAAAAGATACTTACTAAGTTGTAATTAAAGGCAATACATTGTCTCCAATCATATAAACTTATTCTTAAAGGCAACATTACAAAAGACAAATGTACAAATCTTTACTTATGCTGATAACTTGACATAAGTCTTAACACAGGATTTAACTGGATGTTGAGAATAGGCATTGAAGATAACAAAATGTCAAAAAATTCCAAGACATTAAGACAATTTTTATTTTGTGGGCATAGTGGATAAAAATGAACCTACAATGAAATAGTGAATGATGCCTAATAAGAAGTCATTGGTAAAAATACTATAATCAGCAGAATAAATTGTAAATAATAGCTTATTTTTAGTTGTCTTAACGATATTCTGTTTATATTCCTACTTTACTGATTCTCATTTTATCCTAACCTTATCTGATTATATTTTAATACTTTACTGATTTTCATTTTATTCTAACCTACAATTGTATTATTCCTTAGGCTGTCGTTAATATAGCGATTTACAATAAATACTTGTTATTTTTAGTCAACAGAAGAATCACTTTATGTTGCCACTAAACCAAGTGCACCAGTTATTGAAGACCTGAGACCTATGATAGATGGTCTAAACATTAGTTGGAAGTCTGACGTAAACTCAAAACAAGATAAGTACGAAATTCAGTGGATCAGAAACGACACACACGAAAGGAACATCAAAACCAGTTACGAATCCAAAATTATTTTGAGCCATCTCTACCCTGGCGCCGGGTACTTGGTGAAAGTTTTTGCTTTATCTCACGGATTAAAAAGTGAACCACATGAATATTTTCAACCTGTTTGTAAGTATAGATTTATATAAGTATGATTTTAATTTCCACAGACTAGTCATATTGATAGTATCAGTATATCCTCAACATCATTTAAATAGGATCATAAGGGACAATTGACTGTTACAATGGATTCATCTGAACCTATTAATGCAGCAAGATTGCCAATCACATATTATGGACTCTTCTAAATTTCTTGCTGTCTTTGCGCCATTGATATCATCACATCATTCTTATGCAGTCATTTGTATCTCTTACCAGGAGGAATCAACCTCTTTTCATCCTCCTTATATTCCCAAAAGCTTGTTGACTGTCTCTTTTACTACCTCACTTATTATTTGATTTTTTTTGTTTCCTGTTTATTCCTTACTCTTTTAAGTTATACAGTTGCGTCTCAATTAATTCAAATCTGTCTTAATATAACATAAAGCAAAACACTGTCTTTAATTTCCACAAATGTCATGTTTCGCTAAATCATCAGCTTCATCACAAGAAATGAAAAAAGGGATGGATGGATAGAAAACGTTGTAGGTGACTTGGACTAGAAAAGAAAAGCACAAGCCAGAAGGAGATGAAGAAGTATTGTGAAGAACTTTAAGTAAAAAAGTAGCATAACATGTTTTAAGTACAACTTTTTGCTTCCTCTGTATTTTCGCAGAATCTGCATCTTGCCCTGTCCACTTTGTACATTTTACAGAGATGATATCGTGAGTTAGCTGCGTCCACTGGGAACAACTGTGATTACTCAAAATTCAGTTTTCAGAAGTTCGTAAGAGTATTTTTGTGATACGAGCAGAAAGTTATGAAAGTAAGTGGTGAAGATTTAAAGTTTAGACAAAAGATGTATTCGAGACAAAAATAAAAGAAAAATTGGTTGAAAGGCAAATAAAGTTCCAACGTAATTTGCACAAATATAGCAAGTAATATCAGAGATAGTGAAATTTAAATTATTGGAAAAACTTGAGGAAATTTGAGGATAAGGAGACCCGTTGGTGGATAAAGGAACCCCAGAAAAAATTTAAAAAAAAGACAGAAAACTATATAAATATTAACAAAAATATAAGGTCTCCTTCAGGCAGGTTTCAGGGCAGGATATGGCACAAATGACCATTTGCATATCATAAAGATCTTAATAGAAAAGTGCATCGAGTACAACATACCACTGGTTCTTGCATTTGTCGATTACGAGAAGGCTTTTGATTCTGTAGAGTTTGAAACAATACTGGAAGCCCTAAATCAAAGCCGAATAGATTACAGGTACACGACACTAATCAAAAACATCTATCAGAACGCTACATCAAGTATACGACTGCACGAAGACACAGAAAAATTCAGCTTAGGTCGAGGAGTTAGACAAGGAGACAATATTTCACCAAAATTGTTCACGGCAGTTCTAGAGTCAATATTTAAGGGTACTCAATGGCAAGATATGGGCATCAATATAGATGGAGAAAAATTAAATCACCTAAGGTTTGCAGATGATGTTGTATTACTCGCAGATAACTTACATGATACAGTTTCTATGATGCATTCGCTTAAAAGTCTGTCTGAAAGAGCAGGATTAAAAATAAACTTTGAGAAAACTAAAATTATAACAAATCTCCTAATGAGTGGAAATATAACTATTGACAATAATACCATACAACAAACAGACACTTACAAATATCTGGGACACGAAATCAAAATAAGCAGAGACAATCAAACACATGAAATACAGAGGAGAATAGGTCTAACATGGGCAGCATTTGGCAAATTAAGCCATATTCTAAAAAGTTCAATTCCCATGTGTCTCAGGCGAAAGGTTTATAACCAATGTGTTTTACCTGTACAAACTTACGGAGCAGAGACTTTAACACTCACGCAAAAATCTGCGAATAAACTTAGAGTTACACAACGAGCCATGGAACGTGCAATGCTGAATGTAAGCCTTCGAGACCACATAACAAACCAACAAATCAGGCGAAGATCAGGAGTTTAAGACGTCATCGAAAGAACCACGACGCTTAAGTGGAACTGGGCAGGGCACTTAGCCAGAACACAAGATGGACGGTGGACAAGACGTATTATGGAATGGAGGCCCAGAAATTATAAAAGAAGCCGAGGACGACCACTGACTAGATGGACCGATGACATTAAACTTGTAGCGGGAAACTGGCTACAAGCGGCCCAGTGTAGAGAACACTGGAAAGAACTGAGGGAGGCCTATGTCCAGCAGTGGACGCGATTGGCTGATTGATGATGATGAAGGTCTCCTAAAAAAACACTCTCGCCTTAAGATTCGCATGAATAAAATTGCACTGACAGTAAATGTTGATTGCAGATTTTGTCAGGCTGAAGACACTGGAACACTTACTGCGCAACTGTTAAGGTTTAGATAGGCAGAACACTTACTGTGCAACCGTTAAAGTTTAGATGATAGGATAATCTCAATACATTTGGGCATTATCAACTCGAACCGTACGACTAAGTAGAAGTATCAAAAGGGCTGGACTAAAAGGACAACTTTAATCTAGGGATGATCAACAATAGACCTCTCAGGTCGAGTGCATGGGGGTTAAACGCCTACTTATATTGAACCTAACTTAACGTAAGTGGAATTGACATAGTAGCAATCATAATAAGGGAAGTGATGCTCACAGGAAGATATCATGGTTTTAAAAATCTTAAATTGTATCAAATGATCATCAAAAGTTCTTCGAAAATAGCCAATCACAAGTATAACAAATAACAATGTTGCTAGTTTTTTAATTGTAATCTTTGTATAAATTTTTAACATTTTTGTTATGATTTAAGATTAAAGAACCTAAAACCACAATGTTGTAATATTAGCTATTTAAACCGCAATTTCACATATCTATTTGATTTATCTCGGATCTTTTCAATGGTTAACCGCAAATGCATCTTATATAAAATATTTAAAACGACACTTTAATATTCTGATAATAACACAGCTAACTATTAAAAACAGTCATATTTTCTCATTTTTCTACAAAATAATATTCAATTTGCAGTTCCAAGACCACCTAGAAACATGTCTATTGAAAAAACTACAAGCAATTCAGTAATAGTGCGATGGGCAGCGCCAAGTGATTCGTTAATATCTGAGTATGCGATTCGGTATAGAACCGATTCAGATAATCAGTGGGTCAGATTACCAGCTGTCCAAAACACCGAAGCCGAAGTAACAGACATGTCTCCTGGAGAAAGATATACAATTCAAGTAAACACGGTCAGTTATGGTTTGGAGAGTAACGAACCTCAGCAGTTAAACCATACTGTCAGTAAGTAACGTTTTTGTTTCTTTTTTTTTTTGTAATATTGTAATAAATCATTAATTTGGCGTTTCTTATATCTGGTTTTCGTCCAGCTTCAATTTAAACAGCAACAAATTCTCATTAGTATAATTAAAAATAATTTCGTCTTCCATATTGTTCCAGAGCTTCGTTTCACGTACTCGTTTTCATACAGTCGCTGTAGAGATGAAACATTTTCTTCTCATTATATAGCCCATAGGTATATTTCGTTTCAATATCAGTGCTCTACATTTTTTATGTTTCCTTCATTTCATGAGCCAAATCTTACTAATTTTGGGTTGAAAAAAGTGAATACAATAAGGAACTTATTTTATTCTCTAGTTATTATAATATACAATAGGCATGATTGCAGAGAATCACGTAGTGCCTTCGTTTGATCGCCATGAAGTTAGTTCCCAGGCATCTCTATATATAGATATAGATATCTTCAACACCAACATCAAAGCAATTAAATCTAGCTTTTTATCCGCTTTAATCATTTTATCTTAGCATGTAGGTATATCTAATGTCAAAATCCCTACTTGTAATTACATTTTATTCTGTAAAAATGTGTTTGTTGTGGAATAAATAAATAAATAAATAAATAAATAAACCAACAGTAATCTGTAAGCATAGTTTCTTTCCAGCAGTATTCTTTCTCCATGCTCATAACTCACAGCTTGATTACTAGATGAACAAAGAAGTTATTTCGCCACATACATAACAGAAATTATTCACAGAATTGACAAACTTCCGCGGTAAGTTTAATTTCACACAAGCAAAGCGTCCGGAAACAAGAAATGTTGCTATTACAGCATGTATGTATGTACAGCGTTAACAGGCCTTTTAGGCCCATTGCTGGATCTATAATTTCCATCGTTTTCTGTTCTTAGCTATCAGCTTCCAATCTCTGATTCCCATTTCTTTGACATCTTCCATCACTACATCTCTCCATTTCTTTCTTGGTCTCCCTCTCTTATTATGCCCTCCGGTACTCTCCAAGCAATATTCTTAACTAGTCTATTACCTTGCATTCTTTCTAGATTCGAGCCATTCTAGTCTACGTATTTTCACCACTTTTGTTATTGTGGGGTTATCATACAAATGGTACACTTCTGCATTAGTTCATCTTCTCCATTCTCCCTCTACTACTTTTCCAGCAAACATTCTGCCAATCTTTCTTTCCCATGCTTCCAATTTGTTCTGTATTGTTTAAAAAAATACTAGAATTTTAGTTTTAGAAACATTTTATGTAAACTGAACATTTCGTTATGACAAACTATTGCATTTATTATATTTTGTAGTTCTTGTGCGTTGCTTGCTATTAGGACGGTATCATCAGCGTACCTGATGTTGTCTATGGTGGTTCCGTTAATCTTGATTCCACCTTGAACCTCGTCTAATGCTTTTCTGAATATAGGTTCCGAATACAGATTAAATATTAGTGGTGATAAGACGCAACATTGTCGCACTTCCGGTGGGATTCGTATATCTGCGGATGTTGTGTGCTCTATTTAAATTGTTGCCGTTTGGTGCCAATATAGTTCTGAGATAATCTGCTGCTAAGCAAATCAATGTTGCTCTAGCCTTTTCTATTTTATTTATTTTTGTAATTGATTTAATTTATGTAAGTGATTTGCCAATACATGATCAATCTAAACTAGTAATGTGTAATTAAATTATTATTTAAGACCTGTAAGAATTTAAATAATAAAAGGTACAAACAAGTTAATATAATAGATCATATTTTTTTTTATTTTTAGAACCAAACCCTGTGTCAAATATCAACCCTATAGTAGATTCCAACAATGTAACATTAGAATGGCCAAGACCAGAAGGTAGGGTAGATATATACATAGTAAAATGGAAGGAAACTGGTAGCGGCTCTCATTTAAATAAGCAAAACATTAGCCAGAACCAAAATGGCACTGGACCTGTGAGAATGCTGATTGGAGATCTGATGCCGGGTGTAGAATACTCTTTCGAAATTCAAGCTATATCAAACGATTTACAGAGCGAAATTACGGTGGTTAAGGCTAGGACAAGTAAGTACATCTAGCGATATGACTTTTTAAATTTTATTGATCGTAATAAAGTCAATAGTTCCTGTACAAAGTTCATGTTTGTACAAAGTACAAAGTTGTACGTTGTACAAAGTTCAACGTAGGTCTAAAAGATAGTGAGGAGTATCGTATATCTTGCACTATAAAAAAGGAAATAATGATTTTATGTATGCAAACACTTAGTCATTCACAGTTAATTTTTTTCTTCTTTTCAGTGCCTTTAATTCAATCAGAGGTTGTGGTGGTCAATAAGCAACAGTCGACTGATACAATCAGCCTCAGATATACACCAACTCCCATTAGTATATCAAGATTCGATACTTATCGATTTTCTCTATCGGATCCTAGTATACCAGACAAGGAAAAAGCTGCCAATGATTCCGATAGATTTGTTACATTTACTGGGCTGGTTCCTGGAAGATTGTATAATATTACAGTTTGGACCTTATCTAAAGATGTCGCAAGTCAACCCTTACAAAGGCAAGATAGACTATGTAAGTACATTTTGATATTTTTGTTAAGAAAAATTTAATCATCCCTCTTGCTGTCATGGCAAAAGAGTTGGTTTTATCCCCAATAGTTGCTTTACCTCAAAAAATTAAAAATAAAGTGTTTTTATGAAAATCGGGCTAAACTAAGTATATCACTCTGGTATTCTATTTTCTAAAATATCACCTACTGATTCAGTCCTTTGTTATGACAACAGCGTTCACTTCCAAATCTCCGTGAAATTACTCGGTATGTGATTGGATCAATAGCTTTCCTCAAAAAAACTTTGGCATTTTGCAACATGCAACAAAAGACTCAATTTGCTTAAAATCTTATCAAATCTCTTCTGGTGATCCGAATTCTCTACAGTGCTCCTTCTGTATAAAACACTAATCAGATTCAAAATCGGTTACGGTTCAATTATTTATGTCTCCGCAACCAAGACAACCTTACAACCGCTGGATATAATTCACAATGCACTTCGGATAGTTTTCAAAGCTTTTCATACGTTACCCATAGACAGTTTATATTCCGAAACTGAAGAACCATCATTGCAGTATAGGCGAACACTTTTACATACTTCTTGGGTACCTTAAGAGTTTAGCAATAGGATGCATTACTGTCAGAAAGTAGATGTATTATATTTTGAACACTTAATATAAGAACTGATTCTTAAATTTTTATTCATTAAATGCGAAACTCAAATCAAAACCGGCTTTCCCTCATTAACTCAAAATTATCTCTCTAGTATGTCAAATTCTATATTATTTAATTTATAATTTAATTCTGTATGACATTCCTTAATATAAACAGCTATGATATATCGTTTTCTCTGATGGTTCACGGCAAGATCTGATGACTCAAAGATGGTTTTATTGTAATCGTAATATTAAATGATCGTTTTATTTTTAGATCCTGAACCCATCACAAGCATAAACTCTACATACATATCCGATACCGAAGTTACTTTAACATGGTCATTACCGCACGGCGAATTTAATGCCTTCGAAGTTCAGTACCTCACAACAGAAAATGTTTTTATCCAAAACTTAACTACTCATAACACCATAATTATTAATGATTTGAAACCCCATCGAAACTATACGTTTACTGTCATCGTGAGAAGTGGAACAGAATCAAGCATTTTAAGAAGCTCTTTGCCTGTCTCCGCTATATTTACAACAAAGGAGTCTATACCTGGGAAAGTTGAGAAGTTTGAACCTGTAGATATTCAACCAGGAGAGATACATTTCGAATGGGCGTTGCCTATGACCGAGCAGAATGGTGTTATTAGGAAATTTACTATAACTTACGGTTTGGAGGTATGTATACTTTATTAAATATGTATTTGCCTTATAGATAAATGGCACCAAGACACTTTTTTAGTCAGACCAACAAAACGCTTTTTTAAATCATTCTTTGCCATTCAATATTTAATGAGTTCAAAGCTTCTCTCAAGGCGTGCCAAAATCCAAATGTACAAAACCATAATACGACCAGCAGTGACATATGGAAGTGAAACATGGACATTGAGAAAGAAATCAATCAATAAGCTATTAGTATAGGAACGCAAAATCCTGCGAATTATATATGGTCCTTGCAGAGACAGCGTGACAAGTGAATGGAGGAGCAGATACAACAATGATATAGAGACTCTCTTCGGGAAAGGAAACATCGTAAGATACATAAATGCCAATAGATTAAGATGGGCAGGCCACGTGGTACGGAGTGATGACGACAGACTGATTAGCAATGTGTTTTGGGAAAGACCAGATGGTAAAAGATCGACAGGAAGGCCTAGAAAAAGGTGGAAAGACGCAGTCAGGGAAGACCTGGAGAAGATGGAAGTAAGGCCATGGGAAATAATAGCACAGGATCGGAATCAATGGAAGGCAATAGTAAACGCGGCAAAAACTCACGAAGAGTTGTAAAAGCCAATGATGATGATGATGAACAAAACGCTGTTCTGCTTACATTGTATAAATTTTTGTTTGATTAATAAAAAAACTTACATATTTCAATATTTCATACAACTCTCAGTCACCATCATACATCTACTACCAGTAAAATTTTGAAAAATCTAAATATACACTAAGAAAACTATTTTTATAAATATTTTAGGGATCATCTCACACGCTTTCTCAAGATTTTGGACCTAACGAGTTTAGAGGAACTATAAGACAACTTCAGCCGGGAAAATCGTATGTTTTTAAAATACAAGCTGAAACAAAAGTCGGTTTTGGCCCAGAAACCGAATGGACAGAAAAAATGCCTATAACTGCACCTCCCATGCCGCCACCACAAGTAGTGCCAACTGAAGTATGCAAGAGTCCCACTTCCATCCAGATACGATTCAGAAAGAATTATTTCAGTGATGTTAATGGACCAGTAAGTGTTCTTTCTTAATTTATAGTTTTAGTTAATATGTACTAAAGATATAAATGATTACCAATTAAAAAAAATGTAAAATCTTTGTCTATCAAATGATCCGTGAGTCTGTTAGAATCAGGTTATCTTCTTCTTTGTGTGCCATTATCTAATTCGTGCTGGACCTGCCTAATTTTAATATTTAGTCTCTTCGATATTAATTTTTCTGGTCACCATTCATTTTGTTTTTTTTTTCGTTGATTCTTAAGCCTTTTTCATTGCATTTTTTCAACAGTGTTTGAAGGTCTTCTAGGCTCTCTGACATTATCTCTGTCATCTACATCTACATGCAACATATGTAATTATGTAATTATTTTTCTAAACTCAATGCTCTTTTGTAATCAAAAAAGAGCATCCCGAGTACCCATACCGTTTATGAAACCAAACTGCTTACCATCGATTACCTCTCCTCACAAAGTTTATATATGCGACAATGCCATACTATACCTATATAATAAATTTTTTGAGTAAATAATAATACAAATTTTGAGCGTGTGACTCATTAAACTGATAAGTCGATAATGGCCACACTGTTTGGCATTCCTTTTCTTGAAAATAGTTATACATATTGATTCTGTGTTGTCTGGTAATTTACTGCTACTGTATATCTTGTTAAAGAAAGAGGTGGTAATCGTATTTCATCAGGACCAGAAGCTTTCCTTCGTTTCGTTTGGTCGATGCCTTCTGAGATTAGAATCGGTGGGCTAGTATCTCGGTTAGATGTTACTTCTTGGTAGATTCTTTGGTCATTTTTAAATAATTCTATTATGGAATTTTCACATTCGGTGCAGCGCTCTTTATTATTGCTTAAAATTCTACCACCAGAGTCTTGTAATATGTTTTACCTGTTAAATCTGCTCTTACTTGTATACTTATAGCCATCGCCTTTTTGCCACTCTAATTCTTTTTTGGATTTCTGTATGTATTTAATTATATTTTTTTCTGTTTATGGATTTGTACTGCCTCCGAAGTCCATTAGATTCAAGGTGTCTTGTGCCATCCAGTCATTTGTAACTGTTTGTTGTGGTAAAAGATTTTCTCGAGATGCAGTGATTATTGTTGTTTTTATTTATTCCCAGCAATCATATATGTTGTTAGTATCTTCTAGTTTAATTTATTTTTAATTTAGTTTAATTTATTTAGTTTAATTTGTTTTATCTTTTATGTTTTTTCTTTTTATGTTTTATCTTCTAGTTTAATTTAAATTAATATCATGGATGGACCGCGTCACTAACACGCAAGTACTCCAAAGTTTAGACAAAAGATGCGAAATTCTAAATGAGATAAAAACTAGAAAGATGGAATACTTGGGTCACATTATGAGAGGTGAAAAGTACGAACTTTTAAGAAACATCATGCAGGGCAAAATTAAGGGCAAAAGAAGTGGGGGAAGAAGAAAAATATCGTGGCTTCGTAATCTACGTGAATGGTTCGGGTGTAGTTCGATTGAACTTTTTAGGCGCGCTGCTAACAAAGTCGCAGTGGCCATGATGATTTCCAATCTCCGCTAGGAGTGGCACGAGAAGAAGTTTAATTTTTAATTTCGTAGAACTTGGTGTTAATTTCTTGAAAAACCTTATTTGGAGCCTGGATCTCGGAGAGCATCTAGTGATATTTTGGAGGTTTTCTGTTGGTATATTATTTTTCTCCCTCTCATCGTCTACGTCTCCACTGTGGTCATTTATGTCAGTCACTTCTCGGTTGCCTATATTTAATTTCTCAGCAAAATTCTCCGCCCATCTCTCCACTATTTGATCCGGCTCATTGACAATTTTGGCTTCCTTACTTTTTATCATGGTTATTCTAGGTTTAAATTCTTTTCTGTTGTGGTTCACATTTTTATAAAATTTTCGCGCTTCCCTTTGTGAATTGAGCCTTTCTAGTTCCTGTAGCTGGTTTTCTAAATGTTTTTTTGTTTTAGTATCTTTTTCTCTGCTCGTCTCATCTGTTTGTACTCCTCTTGAAACTCTACCTTGAAACTACCAAGATGGCGTCCGATAGTCAAGTCGCAGTTTTAACAGCGGAACTAAATAAACTAAAAAAGCAGGAATTAATTGACATATTAGTGAATTTAAAGTTACCACTGTCCGGTTCTAATCCTCAGTTATCAGAATACGTTAATAAATTAACACAAACAGTGCAAAAAGGTATCAAAGCTTTCAATGTCGAACATAACCTAGACGTTATTGTGTGTGAACAGTGTATAAAGACCAACATGGAACTTACTACAATAAAAAGTGAACTCGCAGCAGTAAGTAAACTATCATTCCATCTAGAAAAACGTACGGAAGAGCAACAAGATTTAATTTCTTTATTAAAAGATAAATATAATAAAAATTCAGCCATGTCCATTCCTACGTCATCAAGCGAAAAATTTATAAATAAATCAAGCCCGTCCAACTCAGGTTCTATCAGTCAAGAACCCATTAAAATGTCATTAAACAAAAACACAAGTCTACCTCATTCATACATGAGTGATAAACAAAAAGAAAATAAAAGCAATCTAAAAACAGGACACTCATCTTGGAATACCCAACCAAAAAAAGAAAACAAATACAAACCGATAATTGGAAACAACGAATCGTCTACTGTAAACACTATTCCTAGACAAGGCCATGTACATGTGTCCCGCATTGGTGTTGATATGAAAGCCGATGATCTTCTAAAATTTTTGGGTGAGACGGTACCCGATATTACTTTTAACTGCATCGAATGGCATAGAACTGACAAATATTCCACATATAAGGTATCTTTCCCTTTCGATAAAATTGACGAAGTCTACAGTCCTAATATTTGGCCCAATGGAGCTGCCGTTAGGAGATTTAACTTCAAAAGAAATTTTCAGCACAAAAAGAAGACGGAGGAAGAAACCTAGAAGCTTCTACAAACTTTCATCAAAATAAACAAATTCGAAAGGGTACGGTAAGCATGTTTCATGTTAATTTGCAGTGTATTTCAAATAAAGTCGATATGATCAATGCTTATCTTGCGGATCAAAAATTATATGACGTCATATGTTTTTCGGAGCACTGGCTAAGTGAAGAAAATTTAAAATTAATTAACATCTCCGGATTCTCATTAGCTAATTTCTTTTGTAGGGTAAAAAAGAAACAAGGCGGAGTTGCAATTTATATAAAAGAAAATCTTATGTATTCTTCTCTTAATTTAAATGAATATAATGTAGAGCAAAGTTCTGAGTTTTGTGCAATTTATGTACCTTCAATAAAAACCAATATTTTAACTGTATACAGATCGGGTAAGGGTGACTTTGACTTATTTTTGGTGAATTTTGAAAATGTCATAACATCCTTGCTTAGTAAAGCTGACAAACTAATCATACTTGGAGATTTTAATATAAATTTTAAAATTGAATCTGACCATCTTTTTGATATTCAAAATCTATTAACATCTTTTGGTCTAAAAATAACTATAAACGATTATACTAGAATCACATCCCAGTCCAGAAGTTGCATTGACAACATTATGACAAATTTTTCTGAAAATATATATAGAGTGGGCGTATTTGAACCTTGTTTTTCTGACCATCGAGCTCAATTTTTATTTATTGACTCAGAGCATAAAGTTATTGACACTAATCAAATATTTCAACGGTTTATTACTTCTTCTGGTTTACAGAAGCTTAAACGTGCGCTAGCTATTACAAACATGGACTTTTTCTACGATATTAATAATGATCCTGATTCTTTGACAGTCTTTCTTACCGAAACTTATAACAATTTAATATTACAGTATTTTCCACTAAAAAAAGTACGACAAATGACTGAAAAAGCACCTGTGCAATGGTTTAATAATGAATTAAGGTCTAACAGATCTAATATTTCTCTTATCAAACACATTGCAGAGGCCACTAAGGATCCCGATTTGTTCAAAGTATATAAACAACAAAAAGTTGAATATAATCGGCAATTAAAAATTGCTAAAAAGTCAGCTTACTGTAATTTTATTACTAATTCCAATAATAAACCTAGAGACTGCTGGAAAATAGTAAATTTCGAAAGAAACTACACTAAATCCAGTTCGGTACAACCTGATCTACCTCCAGACGAAATGAATCAATTTTTTAGTACAATTGCAGAGAATATAATTACATCTCTTCCCACCATTAACATCGATGTCCTCGTCAATTATAGAAATTATCCTTCTCCGAGCAAGTCATTTTTTTTTCGGCCCGTTCTGGAAGAAGAGGTCTCTCAAATAATAAAGTCGCTTAGTAATTCTAATTGTAGGGACGTTCACGAGATTAATAGCAAAATTTTAAAAGAAACTTACCAAATAGTTTTAACACCTTTTACTCATCTTATTAATTTAATTCTATCCACCGGAGTATTTCCAGAAGTACTAAAATACTCAAAAGTACTACCAATCTACAAAAAAGGTGATTCCTCAAAAATTGACAATTACAGACCCATAAGCATTGTTTCTACTTTTGGGAAAGTGATTGAAAAGGTTATCAAACAACAATTTTATTCCTATTTTGAGTCAAATAATTACTTTAGCAACTCACAATATGGATTTAGAAGTGCTCGTTCTACTACGAACGCGGTATTTAATGTTGTGAGCGAGGTGATTGAGGGGCTTGAACGCGGCAATCGCATAGCAATTTCTCTTTGTGACTTATCAAAGGCTTTTGACTGCGTTTCACACGACATTTTGCTCCACAAATTAAATTACTATGGAATCAGAGGTATCCCTCTTAAGCTTATAACTTCTTATCTATGTGGCAGACACCAGGCGGTAGTGTCTAAAGGTCATCTCTCTGATTTTCTATCCGTAAAACATGGAGTCCCACAAGGTTCGGTCTTAGGACCTCTTTTGTTTATTATTTATGTCAACGATCTGCCTAAATTCATATCTCCGTACAAAACCATACAATTCGCAGATGATACGACATACGTTATATCAGGAAAAAATAATGATGATTTAAAAATGTCTCATGAGGAAGTTACTACTAAATCTAGCTCATGGTTTGCTGCAAACAAACTAAAACTTAATTCTGATAAAACGCAAAATATGGTTATATCTGCAAGTAATTTACACAATGATCTAGTTAACAAAGAGACTGTTAAACTATTGGGAATAACCATAGATAATCGACTCAACTGGTCTGCTCATATCTCACACCTTAAGAAACAGCTATCCAGTTCATTATTTGTTATTCGCCAACTAGCAAGGGTTGTCAACTTTGAAACATTAAAAATGACATATTTTTCTTTATTCCACTCTCACCTAAACTATGGTTTAATTATATGGGGCAATTCAACAAATGCACTTCAAATTTTTAGAATACAAAAGAAAGCTGTCAGGATTTTAGCAGGGGTTAGTTATCTAGAACACTGCCGACCTTTCTTTATCAAATTCAAAATTATGCCGCTACCTACTCTGTTGATATTTCAAGTTTTAACTCAAATTCACAGAAAACGTGCCCATTTAATAAAGCAGTCTGATGTCCATGTTCACAATACGCGAAACTGTCACTACCTACGAACAAATCGCTATAGATTAAGTCTTTCAGAAAAAAATAGTCTTAATTATAACTATTACAATATTTTACCAAAAAGTATAAAAGAGCTAAGCTGTAATAGTTTCGATAAAGTTATAAAAAAATATCTTTTAAAACATTGTTTTTACTGCTCAGAAGAATATATGACTCATTGCAGAACATCCACTGAACTGCTTACCGTAACTTTGCCATAAATATTTTTCTGTTTAATATGTTTTCATGTTTGTATTATTTATCTGTTTAATATGTTTTCATGTTTGTATTATTTAATGTTTTATTATTTAATACTATGTATGTTTTTTTTTTGACTTGCTACAAACAATATTTGTATATGTTATGTAGTTAAATAAATACTCTACTCTACTCTACTCTTGATTTTGTCTTGTCCTTCTGTTTTGGAGTTTCCCATGCCTGATTCTTTTTTTTTTTTAGTTGCCTGTGCACATTCCGCATCATGCCATTCTGTCCTTTCTTGTTTCTTCTTTCCTAAAATTCTTAGAATATCTTTAATATAGTGGTTTTCCGTTGCGTCCTATATCTCCATGCTGTTTTCTCCGTTTATCGGCTCATTCGCCTTTTGGGACAATTTGGGTGGGTAACAAATTTACTTCTTTTTGCTCATAGATCATACATGTATACAAGGTCATTTGTTATTCAACATTAAAATTAGATAAACAACTGGTTTCATAAAACGAATACATGATTTATCTATCAATTACAGGTTACAGCATATGCTATTATAGTAGCTGAAGACGATTCTAAAAATGCATCAGGTCTAGAAATGCCAAGTTGGAGAGACGTTCAAGCATATTCAGTGTGGCCTCCGTACCAAGTCATTGAACCATACTATCCCTTTGTGAATAGTTCTCTAGTAGAAGATTTTACGATTGGTAGTGAATCTTGTGATATACGCCAATTGGGGTACTGCAATGGGCCTCTCAAGTCAGGAGCTACGTATAAAGTGAAGATTAGAGCATTTACGGCACCGGACAAGTTTACTGATACAAGCTATAGCTTTCCTATTCAAACAGGTAAGACTGAACTAGAGAGTAATTTTGTTCATTCTGAAAATAATATTTGTCGCTTGATCTAGTTAAATTTTTATCCAGTCAATAAAATGCCTAAGATGGTCTACTCGTTCCATGACATCTCAAGTTATGGTTTTATATTTTTAATTTTGGTTATATTATATTAATATTTAAAATATTTTGTTATATTTTATTTCATTACTCAATATTAAATATTTATTGTTAATTAATATTTTGTACAGTCTCATTTAAACATGTTTAAATCGAAATGGATTCACTAAATAGTAATTTTTTTGTTCTTTTGGCATATTTAATTTTTTCATTTAAATGAATGTTTCTTTTTTTATTTTAAACACATAGTAAATCCATTGCAAAGAGGACTTAGATTAGTTACGAGCATTCTCATGATTCTTATAATATAGGTGTGATAACTTTATTGATATTATATTTGATTATTTTATGATATTTGATATTTTAAATATATTTTATATATTTTTGGCATTGTTTTTATATTTGTACTTTTTTGTTGTCTTATGAATGTTCTTTTCTTTTTTCTATTTAAATATTTAAAAACAGTGGAACCTTTTTAAGAGCTTTTTTCTTTCTTGACCTTTTTGTTATTTTGTATCACATCTTTTTTGTGTTTTATAATTTCCCTTTTGACCTAAATTTGTTGTCCTTTGTTAAATTGTTTTAAATTTTTCACTTTTATCTTTTGTAGTTGATGACATTTTGGTATTTATTGTATTCTTTCGTATATTTTATTTTGTATTTTCTCATCTAATTAGGCTCCTAATCGGGAGTCCAAGTTCCCCCTAATTAGAGGCCTAGAGACTTTTATCCTAATATGGAGGATAAGGTCCCCGCATCCTATTTATAAACTATCATCCTAATTTGGAGGACCCCCTCATCCTAGATTCTAGTATGCAGCCCCCTTTTGTGTCTCAGTTTAAATGGAGACCGCCGTTTATTTAGGGTTCGGCTGATATCAAAGTATTTCAATTATTGTGAGTAGTATATTCTTATATTCTAAGCCAAATCAAGTAGTGTATTTTTTCACAATAAAAAAGTTTAGTTAATAATGCAAGAGGCTGAATTATATTACCTGATAGAATTTAATATTTAAAATCTTCTATTATATATTGTTATAGTGCATATTTAATTAATAATTATTTAATATTTAATATTTTTGTGCAGTCTCTATTTTAAACATGTTTAAACTAAAATGGATTAACTAAATACTAGTTTTTTGTTCTTTTAGCGTATTTAATTTTCTCATTTAAATGCATATATTTTATTTTCAACACACAGTTAATCCATAGCAAAGAGGACTTGGGTTAGTTAAGAATGTTCTTAAGTTTCTTATGATATATGATATCTTTATAATATGTAATATAATATTCGATTACTTTATTGGATTACTTTATGGTATTTATGATAGTTGATATTTTAAATATATTTTGATATAGTGAATTTTAGCATTTTCTTATGATATTTGCACTTTTCTTTGTGTTTTGTCTGATTTAAATATTTAAAAACAGTGTCACCTTTTTTTAAGTTATTCTATTTATTTACAAAACAAATTTATATAAAACAATAATAATTTGTTATTATATTTGTTAATGTTTTTATTTTGACCTTTCGATTTCCGATGTGGAATTCTAAACGTCAAAATAAACTTATTTTAAAGTAAAATTGTGGATTATTCACAGTAAAAATAGTACATTATTAAATTTGTTCCTATTCCGTCGAATGAGTACTCGTGTTGTCATCTAACGGCGTTTGAACAAAATATTTAAATTGCTGAAACATAGTTTTGTACAGTTACTTATGACTGGTATCTACAACGGCAATTTTATTTGAGTTTCTTTATTTTTGAGTTATAAATGTGAACAATTGGTACTGAATGTGTCACATGCAATCGTAAAAAAACTGTGAAGGCCTGATGGTATCAATACATCCCAAAAGGGATTAGGACTGAGGACGAGGAGTGTCACATGCTGTTGATAAATAGTAGAATTTGTTAAAAAACTATTTTAATATGTTATATATTAGGATACAAATAGATATTCATTAATTACTAACAAATAAAACAAGTGGAACTCAACATTCTATTCTAACTCGATGAACTCAACTAACTCATTTCTTGACCTTCCTGTGACTGACGACTGACATATGACAAGTATACATATAATCTAAGAGGTCTTTACAATAGTTACAGTTCAGCCAGCATCAACTAATGATACCTTCATAACAAATATCAATTTTTTTTAAAGCGTATACTCGTTTGTTGATGTTGGGAGTCATCGGAAAAACTAATTTTTAGGTAAATGTAACCTCATTTTTTGTTGTATAGTGTAAACAATTGTAAGTAATATTTTAGAATAGGACCAGAATAATGAGTTTAAGAAATCCCTTAACCTACGAAGTGGTTAATCGAAGAAGCACTCACTGATATTGAATATGAGTGACGAAGCCGAAGATGGTGGTTGGAAAGAACAAGCAAATGAACGTAATAATGTTGAGGAGCAGCTTAGTACAAAACTGAAATTGCAAGAACAGGAAGCTGAAGCATCTGAAGTAATAGAGCTTGTTTATGAAGAAGAACCGCAGCCTAGAGTTTGAAAACAAAGTAAAATGAAGAGAATAAATGACTTTATGGAAAATAACGATCTAACAAAAAAAGGAGATATTAAAAAGAAAGAACATGCCACACTTAACCCCAGCTATCCATTGACATGAGGAAGCCACTTCTAACGTCTTCGAACTTCTTTGAAGTCTTTTTTTTGTCATCAATATTTTACTGAATGATCTATACATGGCTCCACAAAAGACAATTCTACTTCAGCTGATGAAATGAGAACCGTATCATTAGCCCATACACGATGATAATCTTAATGTATCTAGATGTAAATTGCCTTGTTGTAAGGGCAAATTACGAAGAACATGGTACAAATGCAATGTCCTTATGCAAAATGAACAAACGCAGCAAATGCTGCATAAGTGAAGAAAAAAAGTTTGCAAGATACCATATATTACTCATCGAATAGAATACTTTAGTTTTTGGTTTTCTGTTAGTATTTACAAAAAAATTCTAATATTTTTACTTCATTGGCTCACGATGTCCTCAAATGAGGACATATTGTAGTGCTCAAACTGAACATTTTGAAAATGTAAAATTAATATCAAAAATTCGCAAAAAAATCATTCTCGCTTTGTTGCAAATTTCAGATTTTTAGCTTAAAGAACTTTAATTCGTGACCGAAAGGGTTAATCGAGATTCTGGGGTTAAACTGACCCCGATGAGATACTGCAAATTGACTACTAACGGAAATATCAGTAGCTGCATAAATACCTGGAACATATACTTTTAGAATCTGATCAGCTATTCTCGTTTTGGCTGATTAGCAAAAAAGTGTCTGTTTTGTACAAGAATTCAGGCTACTAAAAGAGAGTACAAGGCTACAAGATATCAAGCTTTCGTAGGAGCTTAGATCTTTTAGTCTAAAACATAGATGTAGTGTAATACATATCTTGTCATATAAAGGTATATTAAACTCTACAGGACAAAACGATTATCTTAAAATCTAAAATCTACAAGTGAAATATCGAAACTACAACTAAATGAAATTTATAAATAGAGGGCGCACTGGGTCCAAAGTGTCTATTAAGGGATTATGTTTGGATGGAGTCAACCAATATTTGATAACAAGTTATTATATAAATAAGAAGATGAACAGTTTTCCCAATTTATACAAAATTTATAAAAGAAACTCTCATAAAAAGTACATTGCCTTCAGTAAGTTGTGGAAAACAGTCCGGCATTATATTCGTAATTAAACATTTTGGGTATTGGCGATTCTAAATAATTAAATTTTTATTTTTCATGCTGCTTAGGGTTATTTAGATTGAGTAAGTAATAACACCAAATATGTTTTGCCTGTATGTTTTACACATTTTTTATAAACCAATCATGACTCATTTTATCATTTTCTTTGCAGATCAAGATAATACTCCAATAGTTCTTGGAGTTATCATTCCAATCATTTTCATCGCTCTACTTTTCATCACTGTCATTTTCATTAGAAAACGAAGAGCAGCTGGTAAGAGGAAGGCTTCAGAAGCTAGAGTTAATGATACTTCTATGTCCTTACCGGATTCCGTTATAGAAACTAGCAGACCTGTGCGGATTGAAAATTTCTCTAATCACTATAGGATTATGTCTGCTGATTCAGATTTTAGGTTAGTACCAAAATTTACTTATCTATTTTATTATCAGGCTCACAAACTTATTTAATATTTACAAAATGGAGAAATCCTATCATTCGCGCCAACGGCGTCACCGAGACACTTTTTCATTACATCCAGTACTTACACAAGTTTTAAATCCTTTCGTTTTAATCATACTCTGAAAAACCCACCGCCCGACATAGTTTTCTTCAATTTAATTTTCGCTTCATTTGTATACTTATATCTTTTCTTTGCCATCTCGAGTATGTAAACAAACCAAAGATAACTCTATGACTCGTTGGTTATTAAAAAATATTAGAGAATTAGAGACAAGCAGAGAAGAGTTTAACGCAGAATGAAAGTTGCTGAAAAATATCACCATAAAATTTATTTCGAAAATACATCAATATACAAAGCGTAACCTCTTATATTATTAACAAGATATATATTATTAAAACAATACATCATAAGAAAGCTGGCTGAAGAATATCAGACATGGAGACTAGCACCGAAAAACAGCAAATATCTCATCATCAATACAGAGACAACAAATATTGTACTAGGGAACAACAAGGAGATATAATCTTCATCATCATCATCATCATTAGCCATTTTGCGTCCACTGCTGAACATAGGCCTCCCGTAAATAATTCCATTGCATCCGATCTTGAGCAACTTGAATCCAGTTAGACTGGATGCGCTTTAAATCGTCCGACCACCTTGTTGGAGGACGTCCTCGACTACGATAAGCATCGTGTCTAGGCCTCCACTCTAAAATTTTCTTTGTCCATCTTCCATCTCTGACCCTAGCAACATGTCCTGCCCGTTCCATTTCAGGGTTGTAATTCTTTCAACTGCGTCCGTCACACCAGTTTTTCTCCTTACTATCTGACTCGAAACTCTGTCCCTGAGTGATACGCCCAACATTGACCTCTCCATCGCTCTCTGTGCCACTTGTATCTTATTAATTACTTTTCTAGTAAGTGTCAATGTTTCTGCTCCATATGTCAGAACTGGAAGTACACACTGATCAAAAACTTTTCTCTTCAAGCACATGGGAATAGCTGATTTAAAGACTTCCCTCAGTTTTCCGTAAGCTGCCCATGCCAGTCCTATTCTCCTTTTTAACTCTTGTTGTCTGTTGTTTAATTGTCTCTTCCCAATTTAATCTCGTGGCCCAGATACTTATAGGAATACACTTGTTCAATTTGCGTGCCATTAGTGGAAATGTTTTTTGCCAGTACCAGGTTGGTCATGTATTGTGTTTTGGAAAAATTAATTTTAAGGCCAACTCGTGCACAAGAGCTCTGAAGGTCTTGAAGAAGTTGGCATGCATGATCTACCTGATCTGCAATAAGGACTATGTCGTCTGCAAACCTCAAGTTGTTCAAAAATTCCCCATTTATATTTAATCCAATATTTTCCCAATTATTTTTTCTCATAGCACTCTGTAATAGGCGGTGAATAGTTTAGGAGAGATAGTGTCTCCTTGCCTAATACCTTTCTCCAAGGGAAATGTGTCTGTGTCACCATAGTACATTTTTACAGCAGTCGCTATCATATATATTTCGAAGAAGAGTTGTGTACCTATGGTCAATACTGCACTCTGTAAGAGCTCTTAACATGGAGCTATGCTGGACTGAGTCAAATGCTTTCTCAAAGTGTACAAATATTAATATCAATGGCTTGTTGTATTCTATAACTTTCTCTATCAAGGATTTTATTACTTGTAGGTGGTCATTTGTTCCAAAGCCACTCCTAAATCCGCCTGCTCTAGAGGTTGATGAAAATCTAGCTTAGGTCCCAGTCTGTTAGTAATTATTCTCATAAAGAGTTTATATAAATGAGATAATAAGTTGATAGGTCTGTAGTTGCCAATTTCTGTTACATCTCCTTTTTTATGCAATATTATCATAATGGCATTATTCCATTTTTCTGGCGTATTTCCTTCAAATAGGCAGGCATTATAAAGGGTTTTTAAAGCCTTTATGACGCATTCGCCTCCTAGTTTTATCATTTCGCTTACAATGCCATCTTCTCCAGGTGTTTTGTTGTTCTTCATACCTTTTAATGCTGACTTAATTTCCTCTTCGTTATATCTGGAAGTTCCTCTGACCCTTGATTTAGTATTGCTGGAATTTCTACTTCGGGAATGTGATCATCTCGACTATACCGGGTGGTGAATCGTCAAACGGGCCATAGGAAACTCAATGAGAAATTTTAAATTGTTAAAAAGTTAGGCCACCCCTAAAAGTTAGGCCACACGTAATGCAAGAATATATATTAGGACGTGTGTCTTTTATCATATTAATGTCAGATGTTTGACAATTTGAATTGTCAATTTTTTTATTTTATGATTAAATTATAAACAATGAATTTTACTAAATACTACTACTACTGAACATTATTACTTTGTGAAAAATAAATTATATTTTTACAAATCGATCAATATAATGAAATGTACTCAGTTGACGAAAAATCGCATAATGTTGTACTCAGGCAATAGCGCGAACCTTTTCCTGCCACTACCGGATCTTTATTTAACGTAAGATATTCTAATTCACTAAAATTTAATTCCATGTTAAGTTAAGTTATACAACAATTCAATGAATTCCAATATACTATTACTGTGATCTTTATTCCTAATAATAATATATGATTATTTCTAAACATAAAACTATAACAAATAATAAAACATGAATAAAACATTTTTATTATTGCTTTTTTCTCCTCAACTGAGTACATTTTTTTAATCAAATTAATTTTTTTTAAACAATAAATCACAAAATTTTGGTCATTTAAATCATAGATAAATATAATATAATTGATTTAAATATTATCAAATATCAGAAACAATAATATGACAAAACGCAACACGTAATACACATTTTTTCAAAGAAAAATGTATTATATTTTAGCAAAATTTTGGAATACGTTTAAGTCGTAGAATAATTTTAACAGTTGTTTTCGATACATATTTGAGTCCTCTACAAATAGTTTCCCATGACTTTTGGTGTAAAATAATTAGGGAAGCAGGAATTCAACAATTTAGAATTTACCATTGAGTTTCCTATGGCCCGTTTGCCGATTCACCACCCTGTATAATGTTCTATAGTACTCTTCGATGATTTTTAGTATCTCTTGTTGTTCATGTATGACATGTCCTTGATTATTTTTTAACTTATAAATATTCCTCGTTCCTATTTTCAACTTTCGTTTTAGAACTTTTAGGCTTTTGTTTTGTTCTACGGTATCAGTTATTTCCTTAGTGTTAAAGTTCCTTATGTCTTTCCTAATGGCTTTTGAAATGGTTTTGTTTAAATTCCTTAGCTCTGCAATGTTCGTTGTATGCTTTTCTTTCATTTCCCTTCTTTTTTGCATTAGGTTTCTTGTGTCTTCTGTGAGTTTTTCATTTTTTGTTGAGTGCTTGGCTTGGCACTTCTTCTGTGACTTCTTCAGGGCTTCTACCAATTTTTCGTTAAGCTGTTCAATACTGGTTTCATCTTGCAGGTCTTTCTGTAGATTACTCTCTATTTCTTCCTGGTATGCCCTGGTGTTAGTAATCGCAGTGAATGTAACATTATTAGTCCTTGTTACCATATGTCTTCTTTCCTTCTGTATGTTTAAGACTATCTTCGCCCTAACCATTCTATGGTCACTTCCAGTTAAAAATTGATTTAATACAGTTACGTCTTGAACAGCGTCTTTTTTGTTAGTAAATATAAAATCAATTTCGTTCTTGTTTAAACCATTTGGTGATTGCCAAGTCCACTTTCTTTGGTCGCTTTTTTTAAAGTGCGTATTCATGACATATAGCCTGTGTTGCAGAAGAAATTCTATGAGAGTTTGACCCCTTTCGTTTCTATCGCCATATCCGTGAGGTCCAATTACAAACTCCGAATCATCTTGCTTGTGGCCTATTTTGGCGTTTACGTCTCCCATCAGTATAGTAAAGTTGGTGTTTGTCTCTTGTATGGCAGTGTTAACGTCATCGTAGAACCATTCTACTTCTTCATCTGTATGGGTACTAGTAGGTGCATATACCTGGATGATCTTTAACCGAATTTTTTCGTTTACTTTGTAGATAAGATATATAACTCTATCACTTATGCTTTTAATTGTGAGTATATTCTTTGTGTGTTTTTTATTTACCATAAATCCTACGCCACCATTGGAAGACTCTCCTCGATAATGCAATAGGTTTCCCGACGGAAGTACCATTTGTTCTTCACCCTTTCGCCGTACTTCGGACAATCCAAGTATATCCCATTTTATATGATTCAGCTCGTTTTCCAGTTCAACTAGTTTTTCGTCCTCCATCAATGTTCTTGTGTTGTATGTTGCCATAAACCATATTCTTTGCCGTTGTCGTTTATGAAGGTAGCCTGGTTGACTCCGGTGATTCTTAGCACCGTCTGTCCCTCTAACTACAGGACTGCTACCATAGCCTGTTTTCAAGGGACTGCCGGAGACTGAGGGCCTTGCATTTTCTTCCTTTCTCATTTTACGGGGTTCCTGGCCGTTTCTCTACCACGCTGGCCTGCGCGGTTGGTAGAAGGATTGTAGGATGGGCTAGGGAATTTGGCGTCATCGACAAGGATGATAGGTTGGGACGTGGTACCCTCTCGGTTAAAGGGATTGAGAGTGAGCCACGGCTCGCATAGGCAGGGTCGCGATCCTGAAGTAGACCTAACTTTACCGGGATCGTAAAATGTATCTACCTGCTACCTTTGATATAATTCTTATGTAGAAGAAAATATCTAGTAACAATATCAAAGGAAGAGAAAACTAAGAAATTAACACCAGAATAATACAAGATAGCAAACAAGATGTATAGCAAGACCTAACGAAATTCTTTGAAAATATTTAGTAACAATATTCAAAGGAGGAGGAGGAAGAGAAAACTAAGAAATTAACATCAGAATAATACAAGATAGCAAACAAGATGTATAGCAAGACCTAACGACATTCTTTGGAACATGAACATAGAGAAGGAGATAAAGGTTAATATCTATGTATACCGATATTACTTATAAAACAATCCAATATACTGATGATCTCCTCGTCTATGCTGAAAGCACAAAAGATGCACCCTCCAATAGCTCATAGCTTAATAGAAGATTTACCCAATTACCCAACCCAAAGTTACCAATTATAATTCTAATTCTTTCATTTGCCAAATTAAGAATATGCTTATCAACCTTAAAAATAAAATAAAACTACTAATTTTATTTGGGTAAAAGCTCATGTTGGTGTAGACAGACTTATGTATGTGAAACATGTCAAGAATAAGGAGATCTTAACTATATTTTTTTAAGTGTTCCAAATATTTTCAATATTCAGAAACTCTTTTAAACAACTTGTAAAATCTGCAAATATTTCCTCCGTGCCAAATAAATAACCTATTGGTTATTAATGATAAAAGAGTGAGCGTTAATAAAAAAGCGTTACATGTCCATTCTGTTACATGACCGAAGCAAAGTGTCGTAAGGTAGGATGTACTACCCTTAACCCAAACACACGTTTGTATCGTTTTGCAGATGGAACTCGTCACTTATCTTAAGCACACGTCTGTGTCATTTGCCAGATGGCTCATCTTGTAATGTTTAGTTTTTAAAACAGCTATAAACATGAAAGGTTTACAATAAACCAGGACAAATTGAAACTATAAGAACGGTCGCCCAAAAACAGTGTATGCGAATTGTCAAAAAATATTAGAATAACTAACAAATTAAATATACAAATAAAATAAAATCAAATTGTTTTATTATAAGTTGGTACAGTGTACGTTGTCTGTTGTATATTGTCCAGATACCGTTTGTATGTTAGATCTCAATTTGAGTATAGTATTTTGTCTACGCACATCATTTTGTCCATATCATGTGAAAATAAATAGACATTCGCTAAGTAATACCTGTAAAATCTGGTGGTTTCCTACCTTTTATACCTCTATTTGATGGCCTTTCTCTCTGGGGGGAAATAAAAACATAATTATTGTACGCATTATTGTATAAGAAATCCAATGTCCGAGACGATCTACATTCTTTTCTTACAATAGTCTTGCCACATTTTAATGTTAAATACTAGTTTTGTGGTCCTCTTCAGAGTATAAAAAGGATGGTCGACTTTTCTCATAGAAACATGCCACGTACTGCACTGTGGAAGCAGTACTGTAAACTTAAGGTGTCTGTCAGACTCGCTTACAAACCGGGCTGTCACCTATTAAGTTGAGTACGTAGAGTGTTCTCTGTATGTTTTTAACATGACTCGGGAATTGTTGCCTGCTGGCTATCGAAGAACCATCTATGACCAACATATATTTCAATATTTTCATTCTTACTGGAGACCTATGCCCAACAGTTGACGTTCCAAGATACGTCTATAACGTTTAACATATTTCGAATAGTGGACTTTCTCTTATGTAACGAAAGAGTTCGTCGGGCAGTTTGTTGAGCAGTAGGCGTTCGAATACTTGGCGATAGATTCTCACTGAATTATATTGAGCAGTAGACGTTCGAAAATTAAATATTTAGACTCCATGTCTTTCTCTTGCCAATTAAACCATGATAAACTAGACACCCTAGTCCTCCCATCTTTGCTATGATTCGTCCTTAGATGTTAACGAGTTATACGATGCGTGCCTAAGCCCTTTGGTATAACATATTGACAATATTTTGAAAGGTAAGAAAGAAGACATTACAGTCGAAAAGAAGACGACTAAAATGACAGACGACATTTGATAGATCGTCTGTCATTTTAAGATAACTGAAATGAACGATAAGAAAGAAGAAGAACTGTGACAGCCGAAAAGAAGACAGGCTGACAGGTAAGAAAATAGACGAAAAAAAGACGATTTAACAAACACAAAAGAAAACGAATTAACAGACGGAAAAGAAGACGAATTGATAGACGGAAAAGAATAAGAAGTGACAGACAGGAAATAATAAGAATTGACAGTAATATGGCAGTGACAGCTGACAAGACAGCTGTCAGCTGTCAAACTCTTATCAGGCGCAAGGGTTCCGCTTTTGCCTCTTATCTGCCAGGCCATTCTCTTCTTTTCGGCTGTCACGATTCTTCTTCTTTCAATCTGTCATTTATCATTTCAGTCGACTTGAAATGACAGACGACATTTTTACGGATAAGAAAAGAAGACATTATAGCCGAAAAAGAAGAGAATGGTCTGACAGGTAACAAATAAGAATTGTAACAGTCAAAAAGAAGAACTCAGAAATGACAGGCGTTATTTTATTAGACAGAGAAGAAAGAAAACGTAAAACCAGCTGATTTGACGATTCATCTTGTGACGATTTGACAGACACAAAAGAAGACGAATTGACAGATGGAAAAGAACACGAATTGACAGACAAAATAAAAAGAATTGACAGTTGACGTGACAGTGACAGCTGTGATGAAAACTTTGAGCTTCCAGTCTCAAGAAGCCCATCTCTGCGATTGGGCCTTTTATCTGTCATGGCGTCCTCTTCTTCTTTTCGGCTGTCACCGTTCTTCTTCTTTCTTATCTTTCATTTCAGTTATCTTTAAATGACAGACGACATTTTGACAGATAAGAAAAGAAGACAGTGCAGTTGAAAAGAAGAGAGGGACGATCAACAGATAAGAAAGAAAAAGAACGCTGACAGCTTAAAAGTAGTCGATTGTAATAACAGACGACATTTTGACAGATAAAGAAGAACTGTGACAGCAGCAACGAAGAAGAAGGACGGAGAGAAAGAAGACAAGATGAATTGACAGACGAAAAAGAAGACGATTTAATAGACAAAAATAAGGCGAATTGACATACAGAAAAGAAAAGAATTGACAGACCAAAAAGAAGAAGAATATGCTTATGGGGCTTTAAGATTTTGTAGATATTATTTGTCATAAAAGGCTGCAACCTAAATAAATATCTAGGAAGCATCATATCAGCAGATGGCAGAGTTAAGATAGATGTACCAAACCGAATAACCCAAGGGAAAAAATGCATCCGAATACTGAATTCATTACTGTGGTCTAATAAAATAAAGATGCATACCAAACTTCGCGTATACAGAGCAATTGTAGAACCAATTACCACATATGGTGCCGAATGTTGGACGATGACAAAGAATGAACGAGATAAAGTAGACGTTGTGGAAATGGATTATCTTAGAAGGTCATGTCGAGTATCGAGAATGGAAAGAATCAGGAATGAGGAAATACGAAACCGTACAGAAATTAGAGATACTCTTTCAGATAGAATACAAGAAGGCAATTACAATAGTATGGTCACGTGATGAGAATGGAGGAGGAGCGGTGGCCAAAGAAAGCCTTAATGTATGTTCCGCCAGAAAGAAGGAAAAGGGGAAGACCACCAAATTCCTGGAGAAGAGAAATTACAAAAACAATGCAATCTAGAGGCTTAGAAGAGGGAGATTGGAGATATAGGAAAAGATGGAGGCTGAAATGCGGGAAGTGGCAATCGCCGTAGGACCCCCGTTATATGATGATGAGATATTATTTGGGGAGATGGGTATTGGGCTGCCATAACTTAATTATGGCCATTTATTTTGCGTAATTGTTTTTAAGATTTCCTGTTACATATTTTTTAAAAACAACGTTTCAACTTGTAATCAGACCATTTGGAAAAGAGGCGATTAGTATGAGGCTCAGTCTGAAAGGTGACAGATAGAGATATCATCATAAAAAGCATATTTTCCATACTGCAGATACAAAAGCGTCAAATCAGAGATAGATTTTATGGATCTCATGAAGATCTTCCCTATTTCATTATGTTTTCCTTTATTTTCACTGTTCCTAGTGGCTATTGAAGTTACCAATAACGACACTTTGTGAGTATGAGGATGAATGATATCAGAGCGGATATTGGTATGCCATAAATATTGTGACATGTAACTTCAAATAGGTCGTTACCGGGAATTTTTCCTTCTCGAGTGAAAGTTTTTTTTTTCGAGTGAAACGAAGAGAATTTTTGTTTTCTGTATCCACAAATTGTATTTCAGTGATGTAATTTAGCCCTACTTAGATCTTCTACATAAGTGGACAGATATTTAAACTTGGACCAAGTCTCCTAGCCAAAAGATCTCAGGATCTCTTGGTTAGGAATGATTTGATTTTTAAACCGATGCAATAGTACAGTCAGCATAATATTAAACCATCTATGATTATATGTGGTTAAAGTATTAAAAAGAAAGAAGATTACGCATTATCTGTAAGGTGAGGGTCATATATGGGACATGTTGTTGCACGTGATATTTTCATTCATGGTTCCTTCTTCACTAGTAGATCATATATAAAATAAAGTGCATTCGCAAATATATAAACCATTAATATCTGTAAATTAAACCTGTGTGGAGACAATTTGCTCATTTTTTACTATTACTACCTACTTGAACAAATACTTTTTGAAATAACTGAATATAATTTTCTCTAATACCGATTTTTATACTATACTTCCAGGTTTAGTGAAGAATTTGAAGAACTAAAACTCATTGGTCGTGATCAACCGTGTACATTTGCGGATTTACCGTGTAATAGACCTAAGAATAGATTTACGAACATTTTACCATATGATCATTCCCGTTTCAAGCTTCAACCCGTTGATGATGAAGAAGGATCTGATTATATTAACGCAAATTATGTACCGGTAAGTAATACATATTGGATTATATTTTGTACAATAATTACAATTTGTATAATTGATCTATGATCTGTACATCTACCAAGATCTGTACATCTACAAGAGATGCTTTGTTCGGCTTGAATGTGCTGGCTCAGAGATGCATGGACATGAATCAGGATATGTACTTATGTTTTGTAGACTTTGAAAAGGCATTTGATAAAGTTCAACATAAAAAGCTTGTAGATATATTAAAAAGCAAAAATATTGACAGTCGTGATCTGAAAATTATATCTAATTTATATTGGAATCAAACTGCCAAGGTAAGAGTTGACAGCCAGTACACCGAAAATATCAAAATACAGAGAGGAGTCCGCCAGGGTTGCGTGCTGTCCCCACTACTTTTCAATGTCTACAGTGAAGCGGTATTTCAGGAAGCGCTCTCAGACTCAATAGAAGGTATATCTATCAATGGAGAAGTTTTGAATAACTTACGTTTTGCAGACGATACAGTAATAATTACGGATAACAACAATGATTTACAGAACCTAATGCAACGCCTTAATGAACGCTGTCATGAGTACGGACTGAAGATAAATTTAAAGAAAACTAAATGCATGATCATGACTAAATCTGCACATGCAAATATCCAATTGACTATTGAAGATACTGCAATTGAGAATGTTAATAACTATAAATATTTAGGAACATGGATAACATCAGATGTAGACCAAACCAAAGAAATTAAGACACGTATTGAAATAGCACGTACATCATTTATTAAACTTAAAAAAGTTTCTTTGTTGTCGGGATATAAGGTTAGAACTACGCCTGAGAATGCTTCGATGTTACGTGTTCTCTACTCTTCTTTATGGTCTGGAAGCTTGGACACTAAAACAAGTTCATCTGAATAAGCTGGCCGCCTTTGAATTTTGGTGTTACAGAAGAATCCTACGAATATCATGGATTCAAAGAATGTCAAACATGGAAGTAACTAGAAGGATAGGAAATGAGGCGGAAATAATATTAACTATCAAAAGACGAAAACTTGAGTACTTGGGACATGTGATGAGAGGGCAAAAATACGCATTATTACAACTTATTATGCAGGGCAAAATCCGAGGAAAGCGAAATGTGGGAAGACGAAGAATATCCTGGCTAAGAACTTAAGGGAATGGTTTGAATGCAGTAGTGCAGAACTTTTTAGAGCGGCAGTCAACAGAGTCCGCATAGCCATGATGATTTCCAATCTTCGATAGAAGATGGAACTTAAAGAAGAAGAAAGACATTTACCAAAGTCTAGAATATTTTCAAAATCAAGACTTTAAAGGTTTGCTTTTAGAATTTTGCAGTGATCGTATGGATAGTCATATAATTTTGTATTTTACCCTTTCTCAGTATTATGAGAGATTAGAATTTGACATTTTAATAAATCCGACGAATTTTTTTCGGTGGCGAAAATGATAGATGTTTCTAGCTCTGCACAAGCCTTGGAGAAAGAAGTAACAATTCACTGTACTTAAAGAGCAGGATACCTTCGGATTAAAGCAGCAACACCTTTTATCTATATTTGGTAAAACTAATTTTCTTGTGTTATAATGGTACACAATTTATCTCAAAATGGTTAACGTGCGCCATATAATCTTATAGCTTACTATTTCGGTTTAGGTACTCTTGGTCAGATAAGATAATGATAGTACTTTTTGATAAATATTAAAGAGATTCATTATGTTAAGGTCTTGGGTGACATAATCAGCAACAACGTCGAGGCCTGTCTCTTAAACTTTAAACACAATGGTAAGGTTCTTATGGAATTAAAAAGATAATCAAGGATGTGACATACCGAAGTAGGAAACTACCAAGAGGAAGGCCAAAAATGTGTCCACATAAATCTTCTTACCCCGTATACCAGCTCAAATGATACAGAAAAAAAGAACCCTCTAACATCAAAACATTTGCGAATAATAATCGAAATGCGGTCCTCGTTCGGTCTTCTATAAAGATTATTTAAAGTCAGTAAAAATTCGCATATGTTCGTTCGACCATATTGTTAATACATCTGACCTTGAAGCAGTTGCGGTAGCTGCAGACGAACGAAATGCAGATTCCAGTTATTCTAAAAAATCTTTCCCAATGGATAAGACCCCACACTAGACACCAATTGTAATGTAAATTAAGTTCACATTTCAAATTCCTTATACTGTTTATTATTTACATTGTACAAATATTTTTGCAGAAGAAATAAAATGTGTACCTTCTAGGTGAACTAAAATAACTTATATCAACATTGTCATGAGTAACTGCTAATTCATAAAAAAGTAATTTAATCCTTATCAACATTGTTGAGATGTCTGTATTATCGGTTTCATAAAAATCAGGACCGAATATATTATGTTGGTGTAAATCTCTCAATATTTTTTTCATTTACTTCAGGGTTATAACTCTCCGAGGGAGTTCATAGTCACACAAGGTCCTCTACATTCCACTCGGGATGATTTCTGGAGAATGGTATGGGAATCAAACTCTAGGTCAATTATAATGTTAACCCGCTGTGTCGAGAAGGGTAGAGAAAAATGCGACCATTATTGGCCATATGATACGATGCCAGTCTACTATGGCGACATCTCTGTTCAAATACTAAATGAATCTCGATATGCTGACTGGAACGTATCTGAGTTTATGGTTTGTAGGGTAAGTAACATATTTATATTTTCTTAACTGTCTTTTCTACATTTAAAATATTCAACGGTGTGAAAATTTTGCTGAATGCTTAAACCTTTTCTGTTTTTAGGGCGAGACTCAAAGAATTGTTAGGCATTTCCACTTTAGTACTTGGCCTGACTTTGGTGTTCCGAACCCACCACATACATTAGTTAGGTTCGTTAGAGCATTTAGAGAAAAGGTACCTCCCGATCAACGACCAATTGTAGTACACTGTAGGTAAGTTAAACATAATCATTCGATTTTAAATTTAGAGCTTGAATGAAGCGTTGAATGAAAAAAAGTGTGGATATAAAAAACCAATGTGATCTGGCATCTGGTAAATGCTTACACCCAGTTTTAATTCTTGTTTATTTCAATTGACGTTTTTAAGACAGTTATTACAGAGAAAACGATATTCGGTAAAATTTAGACTGTATAAACAAACACACATAGCATGTCTTTTTATTCGAAATTCAAGTGTTTTTCTTTATGTTTCGAAGATTTGTAGTACGTAAATTAAAACCTTATACAGGATGGAATTTTAAATACGTGAATTAAAACTTCCCACTGAAAGTAATTTCAAAATGAAACAATGAAAACATTAGTTAGTCGTCCTTCCTTTAAAATCTCATTGTTATTCTCCGGCAACATTTGTTGCAAGATAATACTATTTTTAAATGAGAATTTACCATACTGTAATTATCCAACAAGTGAGAGCTGGCGGGTTGCGCGTAGAACAAATTAAAAAGTGGAAGGGATTGCTCATTTCTATTGCAGTCGGCTAGGAGTTTACATCGTGTAATTAGTGCTAGATTTCTGACAGTATTGTCAAATATTTACATTTTTATTTGGAGTGGCCCTACATTATAAACTATTTTTATATTTAATACAATGACAAGTGTATTAAAAGCAAACCTTTGGGATCTCAAGCACGAGAAATAATTTTCAATGTTTGTAAGTTTACAACCGAAGAAGCTAATGCAGATAAAGTCTTAGTTGATTTAAAAAAGATACAAGAACGTGTAGCTCAATTAACTGGTAATTATAATACTCATTTTCAAAATAAATTCAGATTTAAATAATTTAATTTAAGTTACAATCAATAAAATTATAATCGATAAATAAATAAAAACTTACAGATAAAAAAAATAGCAGTAAATAATAAGTAAACAATGGATCAGTTAATTAGTACTTTACAGTTCACTATTATTGATAATACAACATGTTTATTTACTACCGATATGCTGGACACTTTAATTATACATTTGAATACGATGAATTTTTCATAAATGGGAAACGAAATATGATATTGTGAGCAATAACATCACAAGATAAAAGGCCTATAATACTTGAGTTTACCGTCTGGCTTAGAAAAATAAAAAAAGAATCTGTGTTCTGTGTTGTGTTTAGTTTAGTGTTTAGTAATCATTAAGACACACCAGTTGCATCAGTCCGCGATATATACAAAAATACCTTCCCTTCGAGAATTAATTACGTTTTATGAAAATAAATATTATTAACAAATTTTTTCTACGTTTTATCCTTTTTATTTTGTTTTCGTTGTAAATAAGTTTATCACACACGCAATGACGGAACCACGGAACATATACATTAACGTAATTTTCAGATCCCAACTAAATTTTTGATACGGCAACTACGCATTTGTGACACCCGCGATTAAGTACCTCTCTTATCTCTCTTAGAATAATTCCTTTTTTATTTTCGCGCAACTCACCCGCCAGCTCTCACTTGTCGGATAATATCTGAACGACAAAACTTGGATGAATAAGAAAACTGTTATAAAACTGCTATATAAAATATGCTCTTTGCTTGTCCCATTGGAAAGGTACCATTCAATAGCAGGTTAAATGTTACCCTTATTCACTTTTGAAGGTGTATAATAAGCATTCATAATTCCCTTCTTTATGTAAATTTAATAGTTTGTTCACTATACTATTACAAGCTAAATAAATTATACATTTTAGTGCTGGAGTTGGTCGATCAGGGACGTTTATATGTCTAGATAGAATCCTGCAACAAATTCTAAAATGCGACTACGTCGACATATTTGGAATAGTTTTCGCCATGAGAAAAGAAAGAGTGTGGATGGTCCAGACTGAACAACAATACATTTGTATTCACCAGTGCCTTTTGGCAGTGTTAGAGGGTATAGACTTGACGACATCTCCTAGAGAGATTCACGAAAACCAAGGATTCGAAGGTATGTGATGAATTTTTATTTGTTTTATTACGCTTTTGTAGTCTAATACGTCTTGATTTTTATAAATATGGTATTTGTTTATGTTGATGTATAGGTTTAGGTTATGGTATACATATATTTCCCGCCATTTTATTTGTTCTTTTAATTTTTTGCTTTTCCTGAATTGTAAAGTATATTTTCTTTGATTTCGTCACAAAAATATCTTTTTTTTGTATTTCTTCTGTAAATAAGATAGTTTTGTTTTTCCAAATAGATATATTACTTAATTTTAGTTATACTGCTCCAGGAAGTGTAAAAATAATGTATATATTGCAAGTCTAAAGTTCCTTAAACGGTTGTTGCTCTCTACTCCCCTCAAATAAGGAACTCTGTCAGTCGAATTAACTAATGTCATTTTCGCGTATTAGTCTATCTTAGTATTTTGTATTATAATTTTATATGATTCTGGGACCATATTCTTATGCCATTTCTAATATCTACTACCTTTAATATAAAGAGTGTTCACCATTTGTGTTCAATTTTTTATTTTATTTTTTGTTTTGTTCTAGTTAATTCCCTAATTCCTATGGGAATTTTCATTTTATGTAATTCATTGTGTTTTGCGTTTCATTTTTGTCCTTTTTATATTGGGACTATTTTTTCTTAGCGCTTTATAATAACCTTTTTGGTTACATCCTGTTTTCATTATTCTGAATAGTAAACTTTCTTACATTTGTCAACAAAGTATTACCTTCAGTAATCACGTGTTTAGGCATAAGTTCAAAGTTCTTTTAAAAGCTCAATGACATTTGGTTATTGCAAATTATGTTCGCAATTACCCAATAGGCTTTTACAATTTAAGAAATGTTCTATTAAAAAGCAAAACAAAATTAAAAGTATATAATAAGAAATCATGTTAATTGTTTTATATGTAAATTATTTTAAATATTTACAAGACTAGAAGCAATGATAATCTTTTTCTTGACATGTCTTTAGTCTCTTTTTTGCATTATTTGTTGAATGTATTCTATTTTTAAAAGTCATTTATGGTATTTTCTTGAATCTAAACATCTAAGTATCTCAACATCTATTTATGCTCAAAAATTATTATACGTATTTATGCAAAAAAAGAAGGAAAAATCAAAGAAAAGATGATTTTCATGTATCGTGGACTTCAAAAAGGCATTCGATGAAGTACAGCATATAAAATTAATGCATATGCTAAAAATATAGGAATAGATGACAAAGATATTCGTGTCATTAAAAATCTGTACTGGAATCAAACTGCTGTCGTAAAAATTGGAGACAACTACACCGACGAAATCTCCATACAACGAGGAATCAGACAAGGTTGCGTTTTGTCCTTAAGTTGTTCAATGTTTACTCGGACCAGTTATTTAAAAAGGCACCATGAAGTGTGTACACTAAAAATATCAAGCATTAACAGAATTGAAGCATTGGAAATGTGGATTTATAGACGGATACTGAAGAGAGAACTGCTAAAGACTGTTAAACACCAGAAAACGTTTTACGTGCAAAATAGAAAGCGGTAGAGGTGTAGGTAGAACCAAACAGGTTTCTCAGTTAAAAAAACATTCGTGAATGGACTCAGATATCAAATGCATGACAATTATTCCTTAGCAGAACATCGGATAATTCTCCTCTGGCACGTAAGGAAGAGGAAGCGACAAGTGTTTAACGGCCGATTTCAAAATTTTTGAAGTACATATAATGAACGGAAGTCATGTATTCATTTTTATTGCAAAATTTATGAATATTTTTAAATTACAAGACGGGCTAATACACTTATCCTACTTTATGCAAAAGATGCATCACACGACACCAAACATATTAAGATATAGATATACTCTAGTGAAATCCTCAAACTCACGTGAATCACGTCCAAAAATGGCGCAGTAGATTGAAAGTAAAAAGAAATAAGGACTTTCCAAACTTAACTGCTATTAAAAGTAACACAATCAACGGAAGAACGAATGCTGTGGGGAGATTGACTCCATTTCAACCACTAGATCAAATACCTCAGTAAAATCTTCAGCAGGGCATTATACTGAAGCCCAGATCTGAAATCAATCTACTTAACGCTTTATTCGATAATATCGAGCGTACGCCCACCAAAACACTGCTACACATATACAAAACTTATCTACGTTTACTGATTAAATAAGACAGCAAACATTTGCTATCTGCTCAGTCATGACTTATTACACAAGCCGCTAACATTCGAAAGTAGACTGCAAACCAGTTTCTAACATCTCGATAAGCCATTGAAGACTCTTTTCCGTGGGCAGGAAAATCCTGATTTCGTGGTAATGTATTACTCCGAAATTCTAAGAAAAAACCAATTGACCTTACCACTACATTGCTGACCTCTGCCAGCAAAAAAATCCCTGAATCATTAATATACTGGAGCAAACTCCACTTTTTAATTTCATTGTTTCCTAACTCTACACAAATTTCGTAGTTTCACACAAAAACAAATTAATTACAGTAGATTCAAGACTTGAATGGAATCAGTTCCTTTAACGAACTACTAGAAGAGCGGTGACCATTTATTGACGGCCAGACACACTAACGGTAAAACATGAGGACTTAGACTGGATATGATGTATTGGTTGGATACAGAATATGGTGTTTAAATCCACAATGACATATGCATTTCTGGTATAGTGTCCAAAGGTGCAAAGTGCACCTTTGGCCACTGCAAGAATATCTCAGTAACGTTCCAGTTCCAGTGTTCCAGTTTTGACTGCAAGAAAATTTATTTAATGTTCCAGTTAGATGCAACATCATGAATATAATTAAGTATCCCATATGTGAGATAAAAAGAGACCACATTGCCCCAGATATAGAATCTAGATAGCTTTCCAGGTGGAGCTAACCACAAGAAAAGTAGGGAATGACCCCTAGAAGACATTCAAAGTCTGGTGGCCACAACTAGTACACAGATGGGTCAAAAACAGAGGTTGGTTCGGGAGCAAACTGGTGTGGAATAATGGCGATGCACTTTCCAGAACCGGTTCTAGACGTACAAAAAAGAACCATCAGAAACCAAGTAAGAGACTGGATTCGGTCAAAACACAAAGAATACTGGGAACAAATTCCCACAAAACTGGTCTGGTTATGAAACTCATAGGAAGGGATTCATAACCAGACCTACGAAAAGAGGGTTTCAGAACTGTGCAAAATAAACAGAAAGCAGCTCAAAATCATAACAGGGTTACTAACTAGATATGTCCCAGTAAAAGAATATCTGAATACGATAGGAGTATTCAATCGGATTGTGCCACTGTGAGGCACTTAATCGCAGAAGACCATGTATTAATACGCACCTAAACACAATACGCCTAAATGCTGCAGTGTCACCGGAGAATGCGTTCAGGCGGCTTGCAAAAAAAGCCTGTACAACAATATGCTGTATCTTTTCTGTTTTTCTTACCTTGTTCGCAAGATACTAGACCAGCGAACCACCAGTGGAAAGTAATCAAATACACACACGTGCCCATACCGGTAATCACCAAAATCGACGTAACGAGGCACATGTCTAAGTTAGAGGTATGAATAGTAACAACAACAGTCAAAATAAAACAATATTCACCCACTAGTAGTGTCAATAGTTAGATACTATTAGATTTGCGATCCTTCGAACCGGATGTAGATGTTTACTCTTTCTCTTTGTGAGACTTAAACAAGGGCAAATTACAAATGTTATCCATACATATTGCATAAGTATTGCACTAATTTCTCCAATTAAGACAATAACTAGTAATACCAGGAATGAATATTTATTTTAACAACGAAAGGAAATGCAGACCAAGAAATTCTGATTAAAAGTAAGATGAACCAGTTAAGAAATAGGGACACAAAAAACAAATAAATACATTCTCTATCTTTATATGTTTATAGTTACAAAAAATTGTAAATCATCACCATACAAATTTTGTCGATTATCATTGTTTCTAAGCAGGCCTTTACTTTAGAAGCTTTTATACTCCATTTTTGTGCTAGCAGAAATGGTTTCTGTGTTTATAAGACGTTGTAAAAAGCTGCTATTCTGTGGTTCAGGCAAAGGTGTTGGTGCTACAGTTGACTCGGATTTTGCACCAGGGGAAAAACTGAGGTAGAAAATTAACGAGGCGCACAACTGTAATGCTTATTACCTCTTTTACTTTTGGTAACAGTACTTTACATTTATTTGGCATGGTTTTGTTTATAAAGCTGATAATTAATTTGGGTCTTTCAGTTACATATGAATGAAAACACTTAGTTCCATATTTAACTTTGATCTTTTCGTTCCAAGTAATTTCCTGTGTAACTGAAAGACTTTTCCACTGTTTAAAATAAATACTTTTTTATTTGCATGGAAAACTACACTGTGTTATCTATAGATAATTATTTGCATGTTTTTCTTAAAATATCTGGAATTATGGGAAGCATGTTTTTCTTTTGGTTGTAATTACAATTTTAAAGTAGCCTAAATTTGCCATTGACCAATATACATATTTTGAACCGTTAATATATATACATAAAAGTTTATCATGATAAATATATATTTGCTTGTATAATTAAAGTAGTTGTACATTACCTAAGACTGTAACAATCTGGCTAAAAATATTCACAGGACATTGTTGGTCAGATTAAAGGAATAACGACAGTCTTTTTTTTTAATATAGGATCTTTCAATAAATGCATGATGGATGCAAAAGGAGCTAACATATTTGATTTACATTTTTCATATTTTGATTTTTCAATCTATAGTACCTATTCGTACGACATTTTCTTTGTTCTACAACATTCGTTCGATATTAAGTTATACGTTGAGGACTTAAAAGAACTTTCGAACGTTAATAGCATCACGTTTATTGCAAGTAAACTTATCAGTGGGATGCATTTATATCGAAGCGAAGCTTCTATACTGGTGTTGTATTAAGAGCGATTCACACACACCCGTGATGTGACCGTAACCGTATCCGGCACGTCATTTCACTGACGACGTAAAAGTATTCTTCTGGGAATATGAATGACGCAGTTCACACTCGGCCGGCACCGTCGTGTCTCAGTGCTATCAGTGGTGTCGACGTGACCGTACCGTATTTTAAGATTTCTCGCCGACGATATTTTTATTATCACTGCTGCATCACGGATCCTCTTTTGTTACATATTTTGGTGTTCAAACTTTCGCTTTTTGAAATGAATGACGAAATGCTAATGGAATTAGTGTGTAAAAATTCTTTACTGTATAATTTATCGTATCCAACAAAATTACTGAAGGAAACATCGCAACTACAACTGCAGTTACTGATCTGGTTGATGAGGCATCAGAAAGAAACTCTTCTTCAAGTCCAAGACGTTCTATTCAAAATGTGTCAAATAACGTCGATATAGCTAGTTCCTCTAAGCAGAATCCTAAGCGAAAAAGGAAAGAGTTACGACAAGTACCGCCTCCAACCAAGACGGCTGCAGCTACTGTTATGGAGTATCAAACAAAATGAAGCTGCTCCTCAGCCGCAGCATCAAGTTGACGCTTTCTTAACAGGGATTATTTGCTGCATTTGCTTCATTTTCCTGTTGTTCTTCTTCCAAGATCACAGCAATCATCAACAATTGGGTATCGGAAAATAGCGCCATTCTTAGAAGCTTCACTGTATACGCCGTCCACGGTACTGAACTGTGTGAACAGGAAGTGAAACAGTCGAAATCACGGGTCGGCGAAGCACGGATACGGCACTGTCTCGTTACGGTCACGTCACGGGTGTGTGAGAATCGACCTTAAATGTTTCTCTACAGTAACATGCTGAGACGATCGTCACGAAATTAGCTCCACGAAATATTTAGAAGAGTCCATTTACTCGATGAGTAAACTTTATGATTGAGAATTAACCATAATTTAAATACGGCGTTTACAATTTTTAAAGTGTGCTTGATTCCCGATCTTTATCTTCGTTGGATGGATACAGAAATCGTGAAATATTAAAAGATATCTACCAGCGAGCAACCGTTAATACTTTGAAATGTCTACTGAATGTCCATATAAAGTGTCATAATAATTTACAAAACAAGTTAATTATAAGTAATCAGTTCATATTTTTGTTCTTAATAATTAATTCATCACTATTTACCAAAAATGTAATCAAGTGGTTGTTAACGTTGACTAGCAATAAAAATCCAACCTGTTTCATGTTTGGTATGTGACAGGTACCAATCTAGATAAAAATTCAAAACAAGTCTTTGAATTTGATCTAAAACAAACGATTTTGCTCTTTTTGAAATATGTAAGCATCCTTTTGTTTAGTTTATGGTTAACTTAATAATTTTTATAATTTGTATACATAATTCCTATAATAGCCCTTATTTTTTTTACAGATGATGAAGGTATAGCTGAGTCAGGAATGTAGAAAAACTTCTATCAATCATGAACAAAATAATCACTAGGTAGCTTTGATGAAGCATGTTTTAAATGATGACATGAAGGTTATATTTACTAGTTAATAACTTATTTTTCAGTATAAAAAGTAAAATTGGTAAAGATAATTTTGTACTATTTGTTATATATTTTGTACAATAGTAGAAGTACAAATAGGAAACATTATTGCTTCCAATTATTTTGGAACCTAGTTATTGGTTATGTATGTTGCTTTCTTTATCGATTTTAGCAATTATTGTTACCTGTTTTGTTGTTTAAATTAAAATGTATACAGAATTTTTAAAATATATATTGACAATTACAAAAAGTGAATTAGTAAAGCTTTTTTGTTCGATATATCTCTAGCCCGATTTTTGTTATTGTTACATATACTTAGAACTACTGCTTAGATATTACTGCTGGAAATACTGAGCCAGCGATAATATCGTAATTGGAGTAGGTTGTCAAATTTATATGTGAGAGCTCTTTTTTATATATTATAATATAATATATTCAATGTATTTTTGAAATAGGTCTTACAGACCTTAATTTCATTTTTATGTAAATTGAAATAGTATCCATAATTGTTGTTTAACTTGTAGAATCCTTCATTTTGGTAAGCTAACGGTAAAATACACTCAAATCTTATTAGAAAATCACGTTTTTGATCCATTTTAGTCAAAATGTTCAAAATTCTCAAAATTATGCAAATAATTTTGGAAGAACTATTTGTTCGATGTGTAAAATCATAAGCCACCTACGGAACTGTAATTGGCTATGTCAAGCTCGAAAAGTCAACCAAGTCTAAGCAATTTCGCTAATTATGAAGTGTAAAATTTAGATATGTTACCATTTTGAACTAAAAAAATATATCGATTAGGAAAAGAAATCAGTTACAAAATTAAACAACTTGAATTGTTACACTTTGGAATTAAAATAAGTATAATTTTATGACAAAAAATGTGTGATATCTTCACAGAACGTTATTATAGAGTTGTTACCCTTTGGAACTCGTAAATATTGGTTATTTAAGCACTTCCCAATACTACTCTTTGGAACTGGTGTATCGATTATCAACTTTATTCATTAACCCCCTGACGTGATACCTCACGCGTTACGATCAAATCAATAGGTGTGAAGATACATATCTAATACCTTTATGGCATGATGTTTGATTTTTGTATATAATCAAATTCTATTCGTTAAATTCTACCACAAGAAGCCTCGCATATCCCTGTAAGTTAAGACGTTTGGATGCTACATGACTAAGGCCTCTTTGGATAGATATCCACCCTATAACACCAACAATTTACTATTTACTTCTTGAACTAACCTCGTTCCAACGATCGCTCATACGTCACGATCCGACGAGCCGTTTTAGTGTACACCTACATTGGAACCGTATTTCTCCCCGATCCGATATCTGGCGACGTCGGCCGACGTCGGATTAAAACCAAACTCAAGGTATTAAATCAGAGTGCCTATACTGCTTCGTCACGGAAGCAGTATAGGCACTATGATTTAATACCTTGAGTTTGTTTTCAATCCGACGTCGCCCGATATCGGATCGGGAAAAATACGGTTCCAATGTAGGTGTACACTTACTCCACCACAAAGTGATTAAAAAAATGATTATTTCTCTCATTCTAATACATAGGCTCCTTATGGAAAGCGCTTTTGTATTTGTTGGAAAATGCCCCGTTTTTTGGGAAGATCTAGGGAAAATATATTATTGTGTATGGTGGTATTCCATCCCACCACAAAACGATCAAAAAATAAGCCAAATGAACCTTAAAATCTTCTCAGAATTTTCCTAGACTATAAAGGAAATTGATGTTTTCTCACTCTAATCAGTAGGCTCTTGTGGAAAGCGCTGTTGCCAGTTGTTGCAAAATGTCCCGTTTTCAGAAGATCTAAGGAAAATGGATTATGGTGGTCCCGTAGCACATAGCTAGCAGAATGAAACATAGCTAAATTACTATATTATAAGAACGCTTGTTTCTATTCCCAAGGTTAGTTACACTTCATCGAAATATCTAAAGTTGTGATTTTATTAAACCATAAATGTACAACTCTTAAGATCAGGTTTAGTTTATGGATGGTCTATTAATGAATTCATTATTTATGGTTTTTTCAGATATTTAGTCCTTATCAATAAAACTTGTGTGGATTCCCTTTAATCTTTGATGAAACCTTTTACGGTTTCTAATATATCTAGGAAAAAATAGATATTAAGACGAAAACTGAATATCTAACTGAAAGAAGAAAAGAAATAACAGAGAAATAATAGGATAAGGGATCTAGATCATGTTATCATTAATTTCTGTGTTTACCTTATGAAAAATATTTAACGGTCGAAAAAAGCTTTAAAGATAGAGAAACTAGTAAATTAAACACATTATGCAGCAAGTGATTTAAGTTTATCTCTTGAATGCCATAACAACAAATTCCCAGTTCAGCTTCTATATCAGCTTTTATATTTAATATTTCTCACTGTACAGCAGTATACAATCGGCCCAAAGGGCAGTTAGCTAAAAATAATTATTATGAGATTGTTTTATTTTTAATAACTATGTAAATTAATACATTTTATTTTAAACAACGGTATTTTATATTGTGGACCAGTTACAATAATAAAAATGTATTGAATTTGTCAAATAACTTGTATTTTTAAATTAGTAAGATACTGTGATAATTTCTATACGAATAGAATTAAGTAAAAACAACTTGTTATATTTTTATGCTTCAATTTTAGACTAACCTATTATTTGTATTGTGCTCTGTACTTAATTTTACTCTAAAACTAAAATATTTTATCTACAAACCGAGTTTTATTTCTTCAAATCCAAATAATATAATATAACGATGCCCAACCACCGATGTCCTGTTTCAAAAACAAACTGAATACCAAAAAGAGCTAAGCACAAGACTAAAATCAATAGAGACACTGAAACAAATGGATATAAACGGTCTAGAAAATAAAATAAAAGTAACTGTAACAACATCGGTTAAGAAAATATGCTCAAACACGAAAACAGCCAAAACGTCTAAACTCCAACCTAACATAATTAAACTACTCCAAGAAAGACGAAACACAACAGGTCGAACTTCGGACAGCTTCAAAAGTTTAAACAAAAACGTGAAGAAATCAATTAGTAACGATCATATACACTATACTAACAATCTAATAAAATATAATAAAAGATAACTGCAATATGATAGTAGTGAAAGCAAAAAACTCAAGCGGCATAACAAAAATCATAGAATTAAAAAATGAGAAAAACGTCACCTTCCGAGACATAAAGCAAATAAGCGAGGCCATTGAAAAATTCTACACTAAATTATACTCGGTAAACGAACAATAATTAACACCGGCTCAGAAGAAATACCCGATATAACCGACTATGAAATAAGAATGGCCCCAAATATACTAAAAACGAATAAACGTGTGGGAGAGGATAAAATTACAGTTGAAATGTTGAAAATTGATGGCAGAAAAATGGAACAGGTATTAAATATTTTATTCAATAAAGTAATTGATGAAGGAAAGATTCCTCAAGAATGGTACGACTCCGAAGTCATCTTACTATTTAAGAAAGGAGACAAAGCAAACAGCTAGAATTGCCGACAGATATTCTTGCTATCACATCTGTATAAATTACTAACTAAAATCATAACCTACGGTCTAACACAAGCTCGATTTCTATCAACCTATCGAGCAGGCTATATTCAGAAAATATTTTAGTACCACAGACCACTTACGTAAGAACACTGATAGAAAAATGCACCGAGTATAATGTTCCAATTCATATGGCGTTCGTCGATTTCCATAAAGTATTTGATTCTTTCGAATCATGGGTAGTGCTTGAATCTCTAGAAAATGCACGTATAGATTCAAGATACACTAACATAATTAAAAACATATATGAAAATGCCACCATCCAGATAAAGCTGGACAAAACACAAAAACTAATTCCATAAGACTACAACGGGGAGTAAGACAAGGAGACACCATCTCTCCCAAACTATTTACCCTTGCTCTAGAAGACATTTTTAAGAAACTAGAATGGAACAACAAGGGTATCAACG